CCAGCACCATCTCTGCCTTCACGCCGTCATGTTGCACCATGATGATAATGGACTGAACCTCTGACCTGTAAGTGAGCCATCCCAATTGAATGTTTTCCTTTATAAGAGTTGCCATGGTCACGGTGTCTCTTCACAGCAATAGAAACCCTAAAACGGTATCTAACCCTTGTTTCCATTTTGTCCGCTGCTCGGTGGCCAGGATGGATTCTGGCCCAAACTTGGACTCCTCCATTGTGAAATACATACAGTTTCTGCTCATGATCTGTACCGCGAAGGACATTGTGTCCCTGGATGACTTTCCAAGTGAGCCCCAGTGTGAATTCTGTGAGGGATGACTGTACCTGGCAGCCAGCCCAACACCCTGAGTAAGAGCCCAACTACTCCAAGAACACGGTCTGCCTGGATGACCCCCATGACCCTCGGGTCCCCGAGAGAACAGTGCAGCGCAGTGGCTGCCAGGTCTAAGGCCTGTACGGCTGGAGCCTGCTGCTGCTCAGCTGCACAGGGGAAATGAGGAGCATGTCCTGCAGCCTGCCAAATCCTCTGTGGGCCGTGGGCCAGCAGGAGAGGAGGCCCTGATGTTGCCTCCCAGGTAACTTTGCTTCCTGTTGGTTCAGAGGAGAGCAGCTGTGAGCTGCCACCTACCCCACCACAGCCCATGGAGGGTAGGTTCCACAAAAGGGGTCTTGGGTTGTGCAGCAGCAGCCTAGATAAGTGGCAACCAATTGTTTGACCGTTCTGGCTCCCCAGGAGCAGGAAGCTGGGAGAGATCTGTTCCCCACCGATATCCTGCCTGCCTCAGGAATCCCAGGGAGGACCTGAGTTGGTCTGTTCCAGTCAGAATCTTTATCAGAAATGAGAAACTGAAGAGGTTTAGCATGCAACCAGGGCATTTAATTTGGCCAGAACTGTCAGCTTCTTGAATTAATGGGGGCATATTCCATTATGGGCCTGGGTGTGTTACATTATTATTGTTGTTCTTGTTATTTACTGGGGTCTTTTAACAAAGGGTTCCTCTGAAGTCCTGACTGTCCTGGAATTCACTTTGTAGACCAGGATGACCTAGAATTCAGAGATCTGCTTGCCTCTGCCTCCTGAGTGCTGGGAGGCAGAGGTAGGCGGATCTCTGTGAGTTTGAGGCCAACCTGATCTATAAGAGCTAGTTCCAGGACAGCTAGGGCTGTTACACAGAGAATCCCTCTCTTGAAAAAACAGAAAGAAAGAAAGAAAGAAAGAAAGAAAGAAAGAAAGGAAGAAAGAAAGAAAAGAAAGACTATCCCTAAACTCTATTGGCCCCAGGACCTTTAGTACCAGTAAGAAGCACCTCCTGCCCACAGACGGTGGCAACCACAAAGTCACAGAAGGTGACTCAGCAGTCTCCACAAGAGAACGCTCTTAATTTTGTATCTATGGGGGTGGGGGTTGGGTTTCTGGGGAGGCAGAATTGCACACACATGTGTGCACGTGTGCACATGCGTGCAGAGGCCAGAAGTTGCTGCTGGGCGCCCTGCTCCATCACCCCCTTTGTTACAGGGCTCTCATGGCACCAGGAACTAGGCTAGAAACCAGTGAGCCCCAGTGATTCCTGTCTCTGTCTCCTGCCACCCAGCACTGGGGTTCCGGGGGATGCTTTGGCCACACCCAACTTGTTTTTGAGATTATAATGTGATCACAACATCCCTCCCTCCCCTTTCCCCCATCCAAGCCCTCCCATGTATGCACCCCTCCCCATTCTTCTCCAAATCATGCCTTCTTTTCTCATTGTTATTGCATGCATATATGTATGTGTATATGCATGTATATCCCTAAATATAACCTGTGTGTCCACATAGTGTTCCTTGTAGGTTTGTTTTTAGGGCTGACCATTAGGCACTAGACAACCGATTGGTGTACTCTTCCCTAGAGAGGGCCACCTCTCTGCATCTCAGCTTTCCCCGGTTGCCTATGGTTCTTTGTGAAGAGCTGAGGTCTCACACGTTTTCCCCATCCAGTTTGAAACATCTTTTGGTGTCCCATTTGTTCAGCTCACATTTGGGCAGTCGTGTTAGCGAGACTTTATGGGGGTAGCTTCTCTACCCCTCCACAGGAGTGAAAGAAGGAACTTTGCTGTGGTTCTGTGGAAATTGTGCAGCTTGCACCCATTGATTGGGCTTAAAAATAAGCCCAGATGTCTATTCGGCAAAATTGGAAATCCGCCCCTAGTTGAAACGCTGCCTCACCCGGCAGCAATCAGAGCACTCCAAACACAAACTGACAGGAATATTTCCTTGGTGCCCTGGCAGGAGACAGCCCCCCTTTGCTGACGCTACGCTGCGGTTCTGCCAATGAGCCAAGTCCACCCTCTGCAGCTGCAGGATCAGAAGCAGCGTCTCATGAGGAAAAGAAGAAACTGTGCCCAGAGGAAACCACACAGAATAGAGGAAACACACTGTTCGGTGAGCAGACACTGGTGTGATGTTGCTCAGGAAGATGGGCCGCGCAATTCCGGCGCAGGTTGTATTTGCTGGTGCACACACTCACAGTAGCTGCTTCATCCGGTATAGAACCTCACAGACCCTGGCAGTTTCCCCCATTTTTGAGTAGTGTGAATCTGGGACAAATATTGGCCTATGCTAGGTCACATCAAAGACCAAAAGAGCTGCTGTACTTATGTGTGCCTATAGTCCCAGGGACTTGGGAGGCTGGGACGGAAGAGCCATTCGAGTATAGGGGTTGGGGCCAAGCTGGGAAACACAAAACACAAAGACCAACACAAGAAAAACAGAAGTCCTAAGATTACAGAAGACAAAAATGTTTTATTGGGTCCCTAGCTTGCATCCATCCCCACCTGCCTGTCTTCAGGCAGGACAAAGAAGATGGACCCCCCCCCCGCCCTCTGTGAGGAGTGGGTGAGGCTCTGCGGGCTTCCCCTGGAGTACCTTCAAGAGATGTGTTACATCTGTGGTCTGTATGTCAGGGGGAGCAGCAGTTTCCCTGGGTGCCTTAATACGGTATATAATAATACACTCTGTGTGTGTGTGTGTGTGTGTGTGACAGAGAGAGAGATTGAGAGAAATAATATAGGACTTGAAAATGCAAACAGCACACACTCCTTGAGGAAGTTCTGGTGGAAAGTGGGTCTGTTGAGGTCTTTTTTTTAACTCCCTTTGTGCTATGAGTCAAACTCCTTGCTATTAAGGTCCATTTCTTGACTGATTGATCAGTCTAGAAGGTTGACAGCTCCCGGCTGGGCCTAAATCAAGCTGAAAGCTCTCCAGCCGGGAAAGCTGATCTAACTAGTTCTGCCACCAGGCTGCCAGATCCAACAGTGCTGAGGTGTTTGTCTGTGGCACACTGGGGAATTACGTGGGGCTTGTGATGGGCAGTGCTAGAGTGCTCACAGTTAAGCCCTAGCAAGAAAAATATGGTAGAGTCCAGACTATGGAACCAAACGATGTTCTAGTCAACAAGAATTACCCTTTTGAGAAGCAGCTCTCCGGCTCCCCACTAGGTCCCCAAGAGAGATAGATATCCACCCTCAAAGATGCAGTAACTCAACTGAAAGCCAAGGCAGTCACCATTTAGGGTCCTTAGACCCCTGAGCAACCCGTGAAAAGAGGTTATGGATACAGCTGGCCGGAACTCTCTAGGACAAAGAAAACTTGTTGCTACATGACAGGACGGAGAGTTTCTGGCATTGCCATGTCCGGCAGAAGGTCCTGTCACACAGACAAGACTCCTAAGGGGCCATACATACATACTCCAGCTGAACCCAAGAGGCCAAAATCCAGGAGGTTCTATAATTACGGTTGAATTTGGTTTATCTTGCCAGTTCGCAGAATGCAGAATTTCAAGGTGGGATTATGATTAAAAAGAAAAGCCATAGCTAGCGACTCCCGGCTTTGACATCAATAGACTCAGGGTTGGTAGCTGGGTACTGAGCCTGTCCCTCTCCAAGCAGGAAACTGGGTTTTCACTGAATGTGGGTGCAGGAACAGAATGCGGGGGCCTGCCTCTCAACTACTACAGATAGTGAGTTTGAAGCCAGCCTGGGCTACCTGAGATGCTGTTTCGAAAATAATCCCCAACTTTTGGAATGCTACCTCTCTCCCACCCTGTGAGTCCCTGAGTCCCAGGCTAGAATTTGAATTTTGGTGGAGGAAACTATTGGGGATAAAGGGAGCAGCTACTGGGAGCTGCCCAGGCTCCTTCCTTTCCCAAAGCTAATCGATCTACTGTTTGGTTCTTGAGTGATCTACTCCAATATCCTTCCCACAGCCGTTTTCTCAATTAAGTTGATCCAAATTATAATTTCTGTTGCTTAAAATCCACATCCTGAAAGATATACATCTCTCCCAAAGGGATGCATGTTGGCTTTCAAAAGCCGCCAGTCTAAGTTTGAAATACAGCAGGCACTTAGTATGTGTCTACTGAATGCATAAATGCATATGTGATGACCCAGCTCCTACTGGATGTGCTGCTAGAACTGGGGCACACTGGGTAAGAAGAAAAAGTGAGGAGTCACCTGAGCAGGGAGGAGGTAGAGACTTTACAAGCGTCCCCACGGAAAGGGAAGCGTCAGTCAAGGAAAGGCCTGGGGTGGGGGCGGGACAGGGCTGGGCGGGGCCGGACAGGCCTGGGCGGGGCCGGATGGTTGCAGGTCATGAGCTTTTGCTGAGGAGAAAAGGACCTGCGACTAGGAGAAAGGCAAGAAGCTGTGCTACTGGGCTCCTTGTGCTGCTGGAAGCGGCAGAGGTGAAGTTTCTGCTGAGCCCCTAGCTCTGCTCTTCTTCTCGGATCCCTTCCTTCCGGTTCCTCTTCCAAATGAAGGCTCAGTCCTGAAGGGATTGAGTCCCGGACACCCGCCGCGGGGCAGGAGCCATGAGCTCCATTTGTAGCACTCACTGTCCAACTGTGGCCACAGATGACCGAACCCAAATCAGGCTAGGAGCCAAATCAGATCCATTTTGCTACAGGCCCAGGGACACCAGAGAGACTGCTTGACCCTTCATAATCGATGCTCACACCAGATGAGGGCAACAAACAGGACACACAGTTGCTGCCTTTTATTGCTTAACAAGAGGGGGGAGGGCAGGCTAGATCCAGACCTATCCCATCCTGGGTCTCAAGGAGGGATGTCTAGAAAGACCCAGGGGGCTGGACCCAGCAGAAATTTCCTGGGAACCCACACCTGAGAATCTGGAGTTGAGCCCCAGGATCAAGAGCAAATGGTTGGAGGTAGGTTCAGAGACATCTTTCTCTACCGGAGCACACAGAAGATCGCGACCCTCCTGGAACACCGTGTCCCCTCCCTTAGGAGGAAGAGCCCCGTCTTCCACTGCTTTAGGACAGAGATGTGACATTGACTGCAACCTCACGGCATTCAGAACAGAGCACAAGGTGCCTCCAAGTCAAAGCCATCTGTCTGCCTCCAGCTGTTCACATGCCCTCATGCTACCTCCCTCCTCCTGAGCAGAGAACCCAGGAGAACCAGGGCAGAGTGCATTGCGGTGGAGTGAAGCCAGAGAGGCTGTTCCTCCCCTAGCCATTGGTGGGGAGGGTGCGAGGTCAGGATGGAAGGAGCCCTTGGACAAAGGAACAAGCAAAAGCTAGCGAAGGGCAGGCAGCAGACTGCAATGGGTTCAAAGCCTGGGGAGAGGAGATGAGCAAGGGAGCATGGGAAAGAAGCAAGTGCCAGAGTGACAAGAACGTATACCATCAAAGAAAACAAAACAAGAGCAAACAGAAACACTGCAAAGACACGGTGGGCGGCTCCAGAAGGGCCCTGGGCCCCATCTGGACTCGGGACAGGTTAGTCGCAGGATGAGCTGTGCTGAGTGAGGCAAAGCTGGCAGGAGAAACCCTGAGAGTCACAAGGCTAGACCCCACAGGCAGTCTAGTGCCCTGAGGACAGGGAGAGAGCCAGGGCAAGCAGGGGTGAAAAGGTAAATGCTGGCCCGCAGGCCCCAGAGAGCAACGTTTGCTTGTGTGGGGCTTGGGCCAAGAGTGCAGAGCTCATGCAGAGGACTCAGGGAGCCTCCAGCAGTGGTAAGTGTAAACTTCAATGAGGGCTGAGGTCACCGCCCATGTGAGGCCTGGGAGACTGGGCAATCATGGCACTGGACGAGGCCAAGAGGTCATGTACCATGCCCAAAGCCTTTCAATGAGGTGAAGTTACTGAGAGAGGTCCCCAAGGGGTAGCTGCTTTGGGTACCTTCTCTGTTTAGTCCTGAAGTGAAATCGTCTCCATCTGGTTCAAGCTGCTTCCTGTTGGTCTACTCTCAGGTAGAGGCCCCCCTGCCTCTCAAGGGGGGCTACCGCAAGCCCTGGCCCTTAGAGCTCCCCTCTTGGGCAGGGGCCTGTCCTACTAACTGAACAGTGACTGCCTCAGAGGCCGGAGGTGTGGCCTTGAAGCTTGGAGCACTCTTCCGGGAACCCTGAGGACTGGGAACGCCTTTCTTCTGTGGCTGGGGACTCAGCTGGGAGCCTTTCCTGCCAGCCGATGGACTCTTGGAGCCTTTGGCCTTGGCTTGGGGGTGGACAGCCTCAGGGCCCTTGAGGGGCTTCAGCTGCAGCATCTCACAGTAGGTGTTGCATTGGTGGGACGAGGCAAACTGGTCTAGCAGGGCAGGGAAACAGCTCTCCTTGAGGCCTTGGTACCTGCAGCCCAACACAAGAACTGAGTGGCCCTGCCGTGTCACAAGCCCATGGTAGCTGCCCTGGGACAGCTAACGTCAGAGTGTTGTATTGTACCAGAGTGCTACCTCAGGAGGCTTCCCCCCAAACCCAAATTTAAAATGGGTTCCTCGTATCCTGACACATAGTCATCAAATGGGCCTTTCTTCTAAATGTAGACTGTTATAGTCTGGGGCCCGACTGTCTAGTTGGTCTAGTTGCCCGACTCTTGCTCATCTGTGACCTGTAGCTGTCTCAAAGATGAAGGAAGTGGAAGAGAGCCCAGAAGTGCAGGAAGCTTTCTGGCTGAGCACTGTGGGTCAGGGGTATGGGGTGGGGAGGATCAGTATCCCCAGGGTGTTAGCAGTCACTACATGGCCACAGGTTCACATGACTGGGATTGTACAGCCCCAGGCCCAGCACCTCTGGGATGGAGAGTCATGAGGAGTTAGGGCATCTGACACACCGAGAAGACCCTATAAGACATTCTGCCGCCAAGAACCACTCACCCTCGAAGTTTGGTAGCAATCTGGACATCGGTCATCTTCCAGTCAACCCCTGGGGGAAGAGAGCAGAGGGTTGATGGCAGCCTGGCCAGCTGCCGGGATCCTGTCACCGTGCCACCTTAGAAAGGAACTTCTAAGTTGACTGGAGCCAACTCTGCAAGCCGGCTTTTATAGGCCAGGCCAGTCCACAGAGTGGATTGTTCTTGGGCTCTGGACTGAAATATTCTCCTTCCTCTTAACAGGGCAGCCGTCGGAGCAGGGAAGAGAAGGTAGGAATGAGACCAGCAGAGAACAACACTGGCTAAGCCAGGGTTCGCACTCACTCTCAGGAAGGCAAGAGCTCTAAGGAACCAGGGAGTTGGCTAGGTAAAGGCAGCCTTGGAGAGCACACACAGCCTGGCGCAACGGGGACAGGGGGACAATCTCTCACACAGGGTAGTCCGTAAGCGTCTCGGCATTGAGGTTCGGGCCTCTGATCCTCTGTCCCCATTTCTAAGCTGCCCAGCATCTCTCTGGGATCAGGCAGAGCTAGATTTAAATTTCAACTCTATCACTTCTGAGCTGTATGAACTTAATAAGTCACCTAATTTTTCACCGTCCATTTCGTGTTATCCTCATGGCCCCTCACACTCATGTGGAATTTTAGCTCGCAAACGACCTTCCCAAAGGCAGGGTCTCCATGCTGACCACACCATTCCAGAGAATAAAAGGCAATTATGTCCCAGAGGGATTAGTGGCTTCACCTGCCTGAGCTTTGCTTCCCTTCTGGTCGGTTGCTTTGCTGTGTGTTGTTTTTGTTGCTTACAAGACAGCTTGCTGATCTCCAGACTCAGTTTCTCTAGTGCTGAGATAATAGGTGTGTGCTGTGAGTTCATATAGTGAACGGTGGTGGCTTGGTATGTCACCTAGCTACACACACAAACACACACACACACACACACACACACACACTTTCTGAGAAAGCTGGGCAACCAAGCTCTGCCTCAACACACACACAATCACTTCTCAGGTGGCCCAGGTTATCTTCAAGTTCACTACATAGCCCAGGACGACCACAAACTCCTGATCTTCCTGTCTCTACTTGCTGGGATGGCGGTTCATCTGTGTTTGAGACGGCGTCTCCCTTGTTGCTCAGACTGGCTGCAAACTCGCAATTCTTCTGCTTTGGCTTCACAGTTCCAGGTACACAGTACCATGTGTGGCAATAAAGCTTTTTGCGCTATGGTAGCAGAGAGTTTGGGAGGTTTGGGAAGTGAGAAAGTCGAGAGCAAGGCGGCAGGGAAAGGAGGTGTCGGAGAGCCGACTGGGGGTTTTGAGTTAAATCCCGTGTAGTGCTCCAGAAAATAAGCAAGCGGCCTGAGCTCCTTTAAATGCAACTGGCACTGGGTGCCGTTGGGTCCACCTGCAGTCCCCGTGCTTGGGGAGACAGGAAGCCAGTCTAGTCTACATATCGGGTTCCAGGCCAGCCAGGGCTAGATAGCAAGAACTGTCTCAAACACAAAAACTAAAACAAAAACCCAACTATTTTACATAACTTTGCATAATAAAAAAACTGAGATCTGAAACCAATCTTTTCCATTTTAGGTGGGTCTGGATTTCACCCCTTTAAACATAACGACATTACAAACTGGGTCCACCAGGCCATGGTATAGCTAAGGGTTGCATGCATGCAGTCTCTGCCCGATCTCAGTTATAATAAAATCACCAGCACAGAGGAGGCTCCGTGATTGTGAGCGGGCAACCATGCGCTGAGCAATGCCTTCTCCGCATGCTTCCACACCATGCACCCGTGCACCCTCCACCCTCATACCTGCCAAATCAGTCACAAGGAAGCTGCCATTTGTCCACTGATACAGCCAGTGCTGAAAGGTCTGGCATTTCTGCATGGCCTCTGAGCTGCTAGATGCTGCTGGGGCCCCAGCCCAGCCCCATTGCCGGGAACAGTAAGACTGCAGGGGCTTGCCCAGATCTTCCTCCAGTGTAGCATAAGGTATATTGTTTGCAGGCCGGTAGATCAAGTAGAGTGGGATGATCCTAAAGACAGTTGTGCCCTGCAGTAAGTCGGAAGAGTGGCCACAGAGGGCCCCCTTCCTCCTGCCCTGTTCATTCTCTATCTAAAAGACCGGACCTTCCTGGAGAGAGTTCTCAGCCCTGGGGACAGAGGGAGCATGGAAAATGGCCGCTGACTTCAGAGTTGGGCCCGTTCTCTGTGGTCAGTAGGACTAAAATTCAACCCTGCTGTGGCCCCAGGCAGCTGTGTTTGGGTGAGGGCTGGGGAAAGTGTGTGCAAATAGAAAGGACACCTGCAGGAAGGATTTAAGGGACTTCAGCAAGGCTTGAGGGCTTGATGCCAGCGGGAGACCAGCCGTGAGGAGGCATTCACAGTTCACGCCTAGAGACCATGCTGCCCCGCCCTGCCCACCTGCCACATTAGCGTCTTCCCCAGATGCCTAGCTTACCCACCCTGTCCCCTATCCAGAGCCCCAGGATCTGCACAACTGGCAAATTTTGGGCTAAAGGTGAGGGGAAGGAATCTCGTTGGTGTGTGTGTGTGTGTGTGTGTGTGTGTGTGTGTGTGTGTCTTTCCTAAAGTGGATGGTGAATCTTGATGTCGTTGCTTCCAAATAAGGGAGCTGAGCGTGGGGCGGCTGTGAGGCAATCTGCACCTGGTTGGAACTCAGGAGGGCCCTGGGTGGTTGCGAAATCACTTCCACAAGCCCACGGGATGTACTACACAACCCCCCCTTGGGATACTTACTCAGGTACCTCCCCAAAACCAGGCGCTGCCCGGGCTTCAGCTGCAAAGATTTTGCAGTACTCCCGACTCATGTTCTGGATTTTGCACCCCTGTGGATTAGAAGAAAGCAAATCTCATCAGCCAGGAAGTTCCACAGCTGTCTGAGTGAATGCATGGCTGCCTGCCAGGGGCCTGCAGGGAGAATTCCAGCCCCGTGGAAAGCAAGGCTCACGGCTTCAGGTTTTCTTCTCTGCACCTAATTTTCTCTTATGAATAACAACGCGCTGTGGGCTTTTTGTCAAATTTAGGTTTTCAAAGTGGCTTCTGAACTGGGTGTGCTGGAGCCTTAATACTAGGGAATGGAGCCCCAGGGACCCCTCCGCAGAATGTGGGGTACTCTCTCCTCCCCGCCCACACTACTCCCTTTTATTTCACACAGCAAGGCTTCAGTGAGATTGGATCTGAAGCAGGAGAAAGGCTTCTGCTACAAAAAGGATAATTTGGGGGCTGGAGAGGTAGATCCATGGTGGACTGATGGTTCAGAGGACCTAGGTTTGGTTCCCAGGCTCACGTGGTCCCTTGCCACCAGCTCAGGGGATCTGACACCCCTTTCTCAGTGCCACACACACATATAGGCAAAACAGCCATACACATGCAAAAAAAATTATTATTGTTGTTGTTTTTGGAGACAGGGTTTCCCTGTAGCTTTGGAGCCTGTCCTGAACCTTGCTCTGTAGACCAGGCTGACCTCAAACTCATAGGAATCCACCTGTGTCTGCCTCCCAAGTGCTGGTATTAAAGGTGTGCGCCACCACTACCTAGTTAAAAAAGAATTTTAATTGGGTATAATAGCACATCCCTTTAATCTCAGCACTCAGGAGGCAGGGCCAGGTGGCTCTCTGAGAGTTTAAAACCAGCCTGGTCTACAGAGCAAGTTCCAGGTCAGCCAGAGCTACATAGAAAAATCCTGACTCAAAAGACAATATAAGAGCATTTGTTGCACACACATGAAGATCTGAGTTCTAATCCCAAGGACCCATGTAAAAAGTCAGCCTTGGCTATATGCAATCCTGTATCTGGGCTGCTAGGTCTTACTGGCTGCCAGCCTAGCTGCAGGTTCAGTAAGAGACCCTGTGTTAATTGGATAAAGCAGAGAGTGGCAGGGCAGGATACCCAACATCCTTCTCTGTCTTCTGCATGGGTACACGTGTGTGCACACAGCACATGCACACATACACACACAAAGTAGGTTGCAAATAGTCCTGAGACTAACTAACGCTCTCTGAGGTCAAGAGTCTGGATTCACGGTTCCATCTCAGCCAGTGCCTAGAAGCCTCGTGAACTTGGAACAGAAGTGGCGTCTATCACTGTGTGGGTCTTCCAAAAGAACCCAGGCTGGGGAAGGGGAAACGGTAAGAGAGTACAGGGAGGGCGCATGAGGGGGGAAAAGGGGGAGGGGAAAGGGGGGAACAGTACCTGGATAGTGACGTCATAATTTCTGCCCAGAAGAGAAGTCTCACTGCTGGGTCCAAACACAAGCAGGCTGGACACCTTGATGACGCACGTGCAGCCGGATTCGAAGATGGGTTCTAGCCCGTAGATGACCTTGGCCTGGGAAGCCTTCTGAAGGCCACATCCATGTCTACCCCCTCGAAGTTCCTCGCTCACCAATCGCCCAAAGAGCTTGTCCCCCCAGCAGCCAGAGTCAGCCAGACCCTTGGCAAACACCATGGGGGTCATCTCAATCTCTTCTCCAACTGAAGGGGAACAGGAGAGACATAGGGACTCGCATCTCCGGCCTGACTGATCCAGGGTCCACAGGTCCGAAAGGGCTCAAACAGTCCCCATGTTGTCCATCCTGCATCTCCTGCCTGACCAGTGCAGGGTGCATAGGAAGAACGGGGCTTGGGATAAAAAACTGTCACACAGGAGGGTGTTTGGGGCAGAAGCTACCTGATGGGACTCCTACCACTTAACGCTGCTCCTATCACACCCATGGGTGAGGACTCAGCAGGAGCCTGCAGAAGGCCAGCGTCTCCTTTTTATTTATTTACTTTTTGTTTGTTTGTTGGTTGGTTGGTTGGATGGTTGGTTGATTTGTTGAGACAGGGTTTCTCTGTGCAACAGCCCTAGCTGTCCTGAAACTAGCTCTTGTAGGCCAGGCTGTCCTCAAACTCATAGAGATCCGCCTGCCTCTGCCTTCCGAGTGCTGGGATTAAAGGTGTGCACCACCACCACCCGGCAGCCAGCATCTTCCATGGCATTTGTAGATCATCAGAGTGACCTCACAGAGTTAAGTGTTTTGAGCAAATAAATCAATGACTATTTCAGCCAACATGTTTGATAAAGAAAAATTTACCGGATCAATTCAATAGCAGTGACCAGCACTAGACCTTAGCGTGGCTACAAAGCATATTTCCCACTAAAAGAAAGCAGAACTCCCTGAAGAAACAACTGGTTCCAAGGCTCAACAGGAAGCTTATGGTATGGGTCTAGAACATTGTATACCATCAGGAAAGAAGGACGTGACCATGAACTACTGGGAAGCCAGGCCTCAGGGTACAGGCCTTTCATCCTAGGAACTTGGGAGGCTGAGGTCGCAGGACCACAGGGTCAGAGCCTGCCTGGGCTACTGTGGGGTGAACTTCAGGCCAGTGTAGGCAACTTACTGAGGCTCTGTCTCAAAATAAAAGGAAAGAAAGGGGGTTGGAGGTAAGTTCAATAGGTGAGCATCTGCCAGGCCCTGGGTTCAATCCCCACCACTGTAAAAACAAAACAACAATGAAACCTACATAAGAGTTGTCATAAGAGTGTAAGAGCCGACCAAAGGGGCCCCATCTGGCCCAAAATGGAGCAATTTTAGCAACAAAGAAAATAATTAGCGTGAGGCATTTGTGCATATCAAATATGCCAAAGCCCACTAGTTCATAACGGTAACTAAAAAACCTCCCAGCCCCCCATGGAAATAATAACAAGCCTCACTGGTCACACTGGAGGCTTCCCAGAGATAAACTCATTATTCTGAAGCCATAGGTACAAGGGAAGCAAGTGCTTAGCTTCCCCTTCTCTCAGAAAGCTCATGTTGAGGTGACCATGTCAACTCTTCTCGACTGGTGAAGGACGACAAAGTGGTCCATGCTGTGACTCCCAAAGAGACGATGGACTTAGGCAATCATCAGTGACCACTAAGTCAGCCCACACAACAAAGCAGGGTGGGGAACGGTATTGTTGAACTTTGCAGAGGGGTTGCCGAACCAATGAGCAATGGGCAATGTAGTAATCTACAAGTGGAAGGATGTAGCGGCACCTGCCTCCAGCTAGGAGGAAAGGGATAAACAGTACTCCTGTGAGTCGCTGCTTTTGTCTTTTTGATTTCAGAGACAATGGCTCACTATACAGCCCAGGCAAACCTTGAATCCTCCTGCCTCAGCCACCCAAGAGTTGGGGTTCTAAGCCTGTAACACTACATCCAGTCTGTGGATTATTCTTGCCAAGAAAACAAACAAACAAACAAATAATCCGTTACACCTGAATCTGAATCTGACCCAACTTCCTAATTCCAAGAATGGGTTCTAGTCCATAGATGCCCTTGGCCTGGGAAGCCTTCTGAAGGTCACATCCATGTTCACCCTTTGGGGGAGTTCCTTGCTCACCAATTGCCCAAAGAGCTTGTCTCCATCCCCATCTTCATCCCCTAACACCCAGCAGCCATAGTCAGCCAGACCCTTGATTATTAGTTTTGAAGAAGCATATAGATGGAAAAATTTAGTACATGAAGACAGAGTGAATGAAATCTAGACCGTGAGAATTGTACAGGGGTTGGGAAGAGGGCTCAGTTTGATGAATGCTTGCCACTAAGGCATGAGCACCTGAGTTATCCCCATTCAGGAAAGGCTGTCGTGAATCCTAGCCATGGAGAGACAGAGACAGGAAGATCCCTGGGGTTTGCTGACCAGCCAAACTGAAGAGACCCAGGTCTGGCTGAGAGAGCTTGTCTCAAAAAGAGCAGCTCTCCTGAGGAGCAACACTCAAAGTTGATGACTAGCATCTCTACACACGCACGTGTCCCTGCTCACATACAAACAGACCAAAGAGAAGTTCTGTGTATCAAGTGACTTCAGCAAATGAATGCAGGAAGGAAAACAAATAGGGGTGGGGACAGCGACATTAGACAAAACAAGAGACGCACCAGCCAAATAGATTAGCGGCTCCTGACTTCAACCAACACATGGACACAGATGGGCAACGGGGAGCAGCGTGTGGATTTAGGGAGGATTGTAAAAAGCTAAGGAAGGGAACCCTGCAAAGGGTGGAGCTGGGGATGAAGGCCCACCCCATACCCAGACGGGCAACATACCTTCACCTTCCTCCCTGGAGATGAAGCCAGACAGCACTGTGTGGAGAAAAAGAGGATGCCACTGCCTTCAGGCTGTCTGTCTGGGCAGAGTGCCATCCCTGCACAATACAGGGCTGCCACCCACAAGGCCAGGCCCGCCGAGATCCTAGCAGGACCACACTCACCCTCAGGGCTAAGGCAGAAGTCAGTTGAGGCAGAGCCATGCTCATTATGGATGGTACAGCGATATAAACCACAGTCCACGGGAGATGCCTGCACGATGGCCAAGGCCGCCGGGCCCTCGTCCCCTGCACTAGAGAGAACAGAGACCTTTCTCGTGAGGGTCAGCGCCATGACACAGGGCCTTCGACCCAACTCTCACAGGCTGCTGGGAACCCAGGCTCTGGGAGCCCTGGGAAGGTGGTAAAAGGGTCCGTGGTCACAGACGGGTCCTTGGTCACACAGATGGCACTTGCTGTGTGATTTAGGACCCGTGATAAGGTCTCTGAGCTTCAATTTCCTGATCTCCCTGGGGCGGCCGTGAGGATGAGACGAGGGGATGGACTGAAAGCATCAGGCCAGTGTCCACCGTGACTGTGGTACCCAGGCGGCTTACCTCCTGCTCACCTCGCCCACTGGGTGCTGATCCTTCGCCCATGTCAGGACTGAGTCGCTAACGATATTGAAAAACTGGCACCAGAGCTTCAGACTGCCAGAAGAATCCGGAAACTGCTCCACCCGAATTTTCCGAATCACCTGTGGGGCTGCGAACAGGATCCCGTTACATCCCCAGCACCCGGTGCCCTCTCTGGCCACGCCCTTGCATCCCTGGGTTGAGAGAAACAGTGAACATAAACCCAGCATTTTGTAGCCCTGGCTGCCTCCCACCCATATCTCAGGCTCCTACCCTGACCCCGCCCCCAGCACACACATCTTAACCAGGAAAATAAAAATCACCCCAAGCCCAGGCCCGGGAGGGACTCATAGCTAAGCATACCAACAGTAACCAGCAGTCAATAAAGGTTCCCGTCTCCACAGACCTGCCTTTGAGTCTTATCTTGACCCTAGGGTAACCGTGGAACAAGTCTAGTAAGGGGCAATGGTGACCGTGGAGCCACCGAAGCCAGGTCCTGCGCTGAGTGGCGCCTTTTTGCTTGCTTGCTTTGTTTTGTTGTTTGGGTTTGGTTTTCGGACAGGATCTGACCTTGAACTTTCTCAGTTCTTCTGCCTTAGTCTCGAGTGCTGGGTTCAAAGCCGCTCACCACAGCACCTCACCTAGTACTTGATTTCTCCTGTGCCTTTACCCTGACTGCGCCAAAACTGCTGCCAATGTCACCTCGCTTCTGAGGAAAGAGAGCATGACAAGCTCCAGGCCTTTCTGATAGCTCACGAAGTGCTGCTCCCAAGGGACCCTGTTGATCCCAAACAGGGAGGCGCCCCGTGTTGTTGTCCCCTCCTGCCTCCCCTCCCACCTCCCTACCCTTTGCCGTGGTGTGGTGCAGGCACGGGAATACTATGCTCAGCTAGGCTGCAGCTTCCTGGCCTCTCTGTCCCCAGCACTCACCTTTTAGCAGGTCTTTGGCGTTCTTTGGCTTGGCTAGAGCTTCCTGCTTGCCTTCATCTGGGGCAGGCTCTGAGTCCAAGGCACCGGCTTTGGGTCTGGAGCCCAGGTCTCCAGTTGTAGGCTCATCTGTCCCGGGCACCTCTAGCATGCTGCTCTTTCGGGCCTGGGTAGGGGACCGTCTCTCCCGCCCTGGAGTCCCTAGGGACTCAGGTGTCAGGCCCTTCCTGGGTCCCCGAGGGGAAACTGTGGGGCTCTCCCTTTCTTCAGCCTTGTTCGCATCTCCATCTGATGTTGCTCTGACCTTAGGGAGGAACCGCTTCCTCCGGGCCCCTAGAGCCAGTTCCTCGGGTGTCGCTGCAGGGAGACCTGTCAAAGCCTCCCCTGGGGTCGCTTCTTCCTGGCAGGGCTCCTGGGTTCTACCCTCCACCGTTTGCCCACCCACCTCTCTTAGCAGTCCGTTCTTGTCACTTTCCTGGGAGGTCTCCTCCCTGGAATCCCCTTCCTCACAAGTACCAGAGCCTTCCTCGCCCACCACAATGGCAGGAATGGTAAGGGGGCTGGGGCACGGGCCCCGGGAGCACTGGGCAGCAGCCAGGGCCTGCTGGCCAGCCTGTACCTCACGGTCCAGGAGGCCGGTGAGGCGGCGGGAGGTGCAGGGACTCAGCAACAGGGTCTGCGCACTCTGCACCAAGTGATTGTTCTCTACGCGGTCCAGGATGCGCCTGGATGTCCTGGGACTCAGGCCTGCCACTTCCATGGTGGGGACCAGAGTAGAGGAGGAAGCTGGGCCTCCAGCAGCAGCCTCTTCCTGGGAGTCTGCCCTGGCTTCGCTTGTCTCCGGGCTGGAAAGCTTCAGCAGCAGAAGCAAGTAGTTCTTCAGGGAATCTATAAGCCCAGGGTCACAGCTCCGGGGACCTGAGGAGCTCCCCTCCGCATTCGGCTCCTTGGCACAGACTCCCTCACTACTGGGAGCCGTGACTTCTGGTGGGTGACTCTGGGTGGGGGACCCTGGCCCCATTTGTAGAGTGGAAGCAGAACTCAGTAGGTCCTTGTCCCTGGTGGGGCGGAAGTCGCCCATGCGCATGTGCTGAGAAGCTGTGGTGCTGGGTAGCCCCTCCTGCGGTCTATTGGTCAGGCCAGTTCCAGAAAAAGAGGGTGTGGCGGGCACCTCCTGACTCAAGCCAGCTGGATGCCCACCAGGGAGATCCACAGACAGCGTTTCCACCGGCTGCTCCTCCTTGGGACACTGAAACAGACTGCCCTCTTGCTTGGCCTTGACCGGACCTAACCACTCTGACTTTTGATGTGTTTCTCCTCCCAACTGTGCTGAGTTCCCCTCAGGAGGCAGCTGTGCTGGGCACACATAGTTCCCTGACACGGGATCTAGTCCAGTGTCCTCATCACTTCTGAAGGCTGTCACTGGGGGCTCTTCAGACCTAAGCATGAAACCAGATTTTTCTTGGACACGAGATGCTTCCGGGCTCGTCTCAACACATTCCATAACCTGATCAGTTCTAGGGCATTCTGATGGTGAGGGTTTAAAGGCTCGGGGTGTTGAGCTGAGGTTGACCACAGATGGTTGCTCTGGCTGGGTTTTGAAAGCTGTAGGGATGCTGTCCACCAACTGTGTCTCCTTTTTTTCACATATCCTTGTGTCTCTCGGATCTTGCTGTGACTTCTCATCTGCCTGTGTCTGTCCTACCTGCATATCCTCCCTTCTCTGTGTCGCTGAATCCTTCTGTGAACTCCTGTCTGACTGCGGCCTCTCACTTTCTTGTGTCGCAATATCCACCTGTGCCTTCCCATCAGACTGTGTCCTCCGGGAGGCTCGTGTTCCATCTCCCGGGGTCCTTCCATCCACCTGCGGCTTTCCATCTGTCTGTGTTTTCTTCCTGCCTCCAACTCTCCCATCAACACGCGTCCTCCCAGCCTCCTGAGTGTCCGTATCCATGGGCTCCACGACGCCTTGAGTTCCAGGGGTGCCATGGTCAACAGAGATGGTATCGGGACTGCTGCTGGCAGACGTGGCAGAAGTCATGGTTGCCTGGGACTCCAGAACCTGAGAACACATGGCCAAAAGCAAAGTCTTAACTACACCTGTGCTGGGCTCTCTGCAATATGGCACCCCAGCTTTCTCTGGCCTCATTCAGAACTGCTCTGAAGGGAATCTTGCCACTGGGTTCCTCGGGCATGCTAAAGATCAGGCAGGCACATATGTAGAATCCCAAAGCCTCATGTCCTGATCCCAGAAACTAGATTAAGGAATATCTAGAACCCGAGCCTCTCTGTCCTTCTGGCCTCTCCCTGAATAAATCCTGCCCATCTTGAAAGATTCTCCTCATAGCTGACCCTGCCTTCACCTCTGCCGTTAGGAGGATTTTGTCTTTGCCCCAGGGCTTTCAGAACTTCCATTTGTGTGCCCCCCCCTTTGTCTGTCTTTCTATCTTTTGAAAGGTAGAGAGCAGGAGTTTCAAACGGTCATTGGCAGCACAGTCTAGCCTCAAACTCATTCTGTAATTGAGGCAAGCTTTGAACTACTGATCCTCCTGCTTCAACCTCCTAAGTGCTGGGATTACAGGCACAAGCCACCATTCTGGCCAGTCCTTCTCCTATGTAATAATTGGCTTGTATAGAATTATAGGTAAACTGAGTCAGGCTGTGGTGGCACACACCTTTAATCCCAGCACTCGGAAGGCAGAGGCAGGCAGATCTCTGTGAGCTCAAGGCCAGCCTGGTCTACAAAGTGAGTTCCAGGACAGGCTCCAAAGCTACACAGAGAAATCCTGTCTCAGAAAAAAATAAATAAATAAAAAGAATTTTTAACCTTTTTTTTTAACTTTTTGAAATGATTATTAAGTCAGTTAAATGAAAAAGAACAAATCCAACCGCTGCTAAATAATACATTAATCTTTCCTCTTCTGGTTTATTTTGTGTTTGAAACAAGGTCTCACTCTGCAGCCCACAGAGGAGGAATTACAGCAGAGGAACCCCAAACTCCTGGTCCTACTGGCTCCTTCTCCAGGGTGTCGCAGGGGAGGCGCACATCACCACAGTTTACCAAGTGCTGGGGACGAACCCAGGGTTAGTGCGGCCTTGACCAACTGAGCTCCATCCCCAGATCCACAGCTCATCCTTGATACTGAAAACTGCACTGTATCGGTCTCCTCTGAAGAATTTATTGAGCAATTCTTCTAGAACAGACACGCTGGCCAAACATTCATAGTTTGCCTTTAACACTCAAAAATATTTTTACTAAATATATAATTTGATTTTGAAGTTTTTTCTTTTATCAGTTAAATTCCACTTTCTTTCAGCCTCCTTTTCTGGGATGAGAAATCTGTGGTCACTCAAACAAATGTTCCCCTATAAGAAATGCATTATTTTCCTCTATCTATTTTAAAAATTGTTACATTTTCTTTACTTTTCAACAGTTTATTTTTTAAATGTGCATTTATCCTATTTGTGGTTTATGCATAGTGCCCTTGAAGGCCAGAAGAGGGTCCTGTCCCCTGGAGCTGGAATTACAGGTTGTAAGCTACACTGTGGGTGCTGGGAATTGAACTCAGGTCCTCTGGAAGGGCAACCAGGACTCTTAACCACTGGGCCATCTCTCCCTTATTTGTGGTTTGTTGAACTTGTGGGGTTTTTTGTTTGTTTGTTTTTTGATGCTGTTGTTTCATGTTATATTTTTATTACACTTAATGTCTGTATGTGTACATATACCATGGCGCGTGAGTAGGTCGGGGATGTAGAGGTCAAAGGACATGGAGGTCACATACAGGACAACCTGCAAGACTCCGCTGTCCCCTCCACCATGTGCGTATCTAATCAGGTGGTCAGGCTCAGCGTCAAATGCCTCCACTTCCCGAACCTCTCGCCAGCCCTTTGCTCTTGGGCTTATTACACTAACTCGTGTGTGTATGTGTCTGTGCACGTGAGTTCAGGCGCCCGAGGAGCCCAGAAGAGAGCACAGGATTGGTGCAGGGGGTTTATAAGCCATTCAGAGTGGAGATGGGAAACAAAAGCTGGTCCTCTTCAAGACCAGCAGGTGCTTTGTTACAAAGTTAGGTTGTCAGGTGTGCTGGTGAGAACCTTTCCTAACAGCACTCTGGAGACAGAGGCAGAGGTAGGCAGATCTCTGTGAGTTCGAGCAGGCTAGCCTGGTCTACAAAATGAGTTCCAGGACACCCAGGGCTACATAATGAGACTTTGTCTCCAAAAAAAATAAAATAAAATAAAAAGAGCTGGGTCTTGGACTCATCTCTGACTTAGAAGCAGCTAACCATGACAAGAGAGTGCTCACACACAATGGCTACAAGAGGGGGCAGTTTCTGGAAGATGGAGATGGGATCGATATGACCCTGGATCCTCTGGAGCTGGAGTTGAGGCAGTAGAGAGCTGGGTATTGGAAACTAACCTTGGGTCCCCTGGAAGAACAGCCAGCATCCTTAACTGCTGAGCCATCCCCCTGGCCCCAAAACGTTTACTTAGGAGGTAATCTCCTTGATCGTGTTCAAGCAATAAGTTCCGCTCAAGCCTCTGAGGTTGTGATTTTCATGTTGGCCCATTTTCAAGTCCTCTCCTGTGGTATTTGGATCTGTCCTCTATGTGTGCCACCCAGTGGCCAGCTTGATACTTGAATGATGGCCCCAGCTACATTTGTTCTCAAACTCGGGAATGTTTAGAAAGGTGTAACATTTATTTTATTTGGTTTTTTGAGACAAGGTTTCTCTGTGTATCTCTGGCTGTCCTGGGACTAGCTCTGTAGAGCAGGCTGGCCTCGAACTCACAGAGATCCACCTGCCTCTGCCTCTCAAGAGTTGAGAATAAAGGCATGTGCCACCACCTGGCTATGTGTAGGGTTTATAAAGTCAATTATTCACGAGTCTCAGTGGTCACTTTCCCACGCTGCTCCCTCTTCACGATGTCCCCAGTACACTGTCCCTAGAATTTCCCATCTCTGCCACATAATTTCGCCTGTGAGCCTTGCCTCAAACAAAGAAGAGAATTCAGAGGGAAAACAAACTAAAATCTTCATCAGGGCTACATCTCATGGTCTTAGAACCACAGCCCTGTGAACACAGAGAACATCCTCCTCCCTCAACATTCTAGACAACTGGCTTCTGCCACCATGTCACCATGGTCACAAGGAGACTTAACCTCAAGTCTGACCTAGAGGACTTCCTAAAACTGTACACGCTAATGACCGTGTCCTCAGCTGCCCACCAAGGGGCAGATGACAGGGAATCAGAGGCTTGCTTGCACACTTGATGCAAGCGCTCAGCTATGAGCTCACTCCCCAGCAGTGTGACCCACGGGTCCCAGCACTAGGCTGAGGGTCAGTGTGAAGGGCCAGGGCACGTCCTGGAACCTGGACAGAGTTAACACAGGGAGATACGGTCTCATCACTAACTCCTCTCAACATCAGGCCCCACTGAGTGGACTCCAGGCTGGAGAGGGAGGCAGAACTCATGAGAAAACTGGTTTCAGACCTGCCTGATGTCTAACTTGGTGTTTTCCTGCTAGAAACTCTTGGTCTTTTGTCTTGGCCCCGATCTCACAGCGGAGAAAAGCCCCAGCAGCCGCACCTTTTGTGTTCACGCTGTTAATTTTCATTCGGGCCTCTGAGGCTGTCGTTTCCAGTATCCGCCCATTTTCAAGGCCTTTCTTGGGGTATTTGGACTTTTTACCTCTCTTTTTTGAGATAGTGTCTTATGCCTCGCAAGCCGGCCTACAATTACCTACAAAGTCCAAGGTGGCCTTGAACTTCTGATCCCCTGTCTCTACCTCCAGAATGCCAGGACTGTAGACATTAACAGTCACGCCCAGTTCATGTGGTGCTGAGGACACAACCCAGGCCTTCCTGCGTGCTAGGCTAGGCAAGGACTCTGTCAGCTGTGTCAAATCCCAACCCCTTCACGCATTCTCACCTCACCTTTTCACCTTCTTCAACTCAGAAATGCTGTGGGACAATGGTTTTACCCCTAAAGATTTGTTTAATAAAATGCTGATTGGCCAGTAGCCAGGCAGGAAGTAGAGGCGGGGTAATGAGAACAAGAGAATTCTGGGAGAAGGAAAGAGTCAGTCTGCAGTCATCACCCAGACACAGAGGAAGCCAGATGTGATTGCCTCACCGAAAAAGGTACCAAGCCACGTGGCTAACCCAGACAAGAATTATGGGCTAATATAAGTTATAATTAGTTAATAAGAAGCCTGAGCTAATAGGCCAATCAGTTTATTAATTAATGTAGACCTCTGTGTGGTTCTTTGGGACTGAACAACTGTGGGACCTGGTGGGACAGAAAACACGGTCAACACAGAAAGTAGAATTTGAGTTTCACAAATCAGTCTGGGGCTGCCAAGGTGGCCTCCGTGGGAGAAACACTTGCTGCCAGGCCTGAAGACCTGAGTTTGCTGTGTGGAACCCACACAGTAATGGAGAGAACCAACTCCTGCATGTTGTCCCCTGACCTCTGTGCACATGCACACATTCACCCTAAAGAAATAGTACAATTCAAAGATTTAAATCATGTCTAGTAGTCCCAAAAGCTAGAACTCTATGGTCAGCAGGCTCTCTAGAAATGGCTGACTCCTGCTCCCAGCTTCCTATCTCCTGCCCTGGTATATGCTATGCCATCACGCCTAGTTTGCCTCCTAAGCACCCAGTTGCCATAGCTATGAATTATTATTTTCCACTATTCCTCACCCGAGATCACACCTTGCTGAGGGTTGTCAGCCAGATATATAGGTAGACCATATCCCAAAACTTAAGAAAGACCAGAACAAACCAGTACTTCTTAGACATTCAGTTTTGGGAGTGTGTGTGTGGGGGGGGGGGTTGAAACAAGGTCTTGCTACCCATCCAAGGTTAGCTTTGGCTAACAGTCTTCCTGCCTAAGCCTTTTTTAAAGCATCACAGGGACTATTGCATGCTACGAAACACTCCCATCTCCCCCATGAAACACTGGAGCTTCAGCGTGGCTACAAAAACCTCTCCACTGACCCCTCTTCCTCCCCACCCCCACCCCTAGAGAGCAGTATCTTCCTCCTCTTCCCTCAACCAGGAGCTGCCTACTCTTTCACACCAAGAGACACAGTCAGGCTATGCTGCCTGTGTGCTCCTGTCTGGAGGATGGTGGAGCAAGGGCCATGCCTGTGCCCCCTTGCTCCTGGCTGCCCCTCCAGTCCTTCCCCACCCCCTTCTATAAATAGCCCACCACCCACGGGCTGCCCAGCCCTTCCAACGAGAGTTTCCATGAGGTCAGTTTCCCAGAGCAGCCTCCACACTTACCTCTCCTGGAGTCTTGAAGCTTGTCCGTCCTTGCAAGGGGCTATCTCGGGTGCCATGTCTCCGTCGGGCAGGAGGTGTGGGGACCTGGGCCAAGGCTGGAGGTGGAGCCTTCCCTAAGCTCTGGGCCATAGATTCTGGAGCCTGACTTGAGGAAGAAGTGGTAGTGGGCTCCATCTTGGGTTTAGGAGGAGCAAATCTCTTCCTATTCAAAGGCTTGATAGGCGGGGGAACCATGGAAGGTGTGGGCTGGCTAGAGGCCACAGGTACCTTCTCACCTCGAGCCCTGACAGGCTCTTTCCCTGAGGGACCTTCTCTGGGTAACCTGGTTCTTGCAGGTGGAGGCATCTCCTCTTCTTGGGGCCTGCCTCCCTGGGTGCTCTCCATGTACATGTCCTTCAGGGAGAAATACACCTGCTCTGAGCTGAGGTTTGGGCTAGGGGTTGGGACAGAGGCTGGTGCAGGGGCTGGTGCAGGGACTGGTGCAGGGGCTGGGACAGAGGCCAGGGCTGGTGCAGCGACAATCTGGATCTTGTCTTGAATGCCCACAGCAGAGGCTGACTTCCTGGCGCTTTCTGTTCCGGAAGGCCCAGGCCCACGTGCTCCCCTGACTCTGGGCTGGGTCTGAGCTGGCTGTGTATCGGCGGGTTTCTCTCTTCTACTGGAATTGGGTTTGTCTGTACTGGGGATACCATTTTCTGAAGCGCACTGGCTTCCATCTGCCTTTTCTAACTCTGGCTTCTGTACTCCCGGCTTACACTCCTCGTCTTTCCTTTTCTTCTTAGCCCCAGACTCCTTCGGAGGGGCGTTCTGGGGCCCCAGCTCCATGACCTCACAGATGTACGTCAGCAAGCCATGCTCGCCATCTTCGCCGTTCTCTGGGGCAGGCTCCCCATTGGTGGGTACCTCTCCAGGAGCAAAGCTGTTGATCAAACCCAAACCTGGGTGCTGAGCAGACTCAGTCTCTCCTTCCTGCCAAGTTGCCGAGGACCCTTCTTCCATTTCCCTGGCGGGGGTTGAGAGGACCGCCACTTCCGCTCCACTCAGTCGGCGCTTTCTTTGGAAGCGGTCGGGACTGATCTTGCGAAGAGTGTCGGCCTCCCCTGAGCCCTCCTTCCCATGCTTCCAGCTTTGCTCAATCTCCCGCATCTTGGCTGCAGCCTTGCGCTTTAACTTGGCGAACCAGCGCTGGTGAATCTTGTACTCCGTCATAGTGCCCACCTCTAGGACCCCTGAGCAGGACACGATGCCCTTGGTGTTCCGGGCAGAGGCCTGGTAGATGGCAGCGTCTTCTTCCCGGCACCTAGAGGCAGGAGCATGAGGCGCCATCTCTTCGCCTGGGAGACGAGAGCCCTCCTCCCCACAACCAGAGCCTCTGGCATGGGCCACATGCTCCCTCCCAAGCAGAATCCTGCCCTACCTGTGGCGTCAGGAATTTCCTAAGTTACAGCGGAGGAAACTGAGGCCACAGAGGGTAGCAACTGACAGCTGACCAAGGTCACGCTGTCCCAGGAGGGGATTAGACTTGGGGCCCAGAAGAGCTCCCTTCAGAAGCAGGTGACCAACACAGCCCTGGGAGCAGGGATGGTGACACCGTTGCTTTTTCTGTCTGCTGACCTCATGGAAAAGGTTTCTGCGGGTCAGGACCTCCTCTGGTTGCACAGACTCGGGGCTGTGAGAAGCACTCCTACCCTGGCCTTGGGAGATCCCAGACACTGGCAGACAGCACAGTTCCAGGTAGATCAACTCAGCCGCAGAACCCTGCCCTCTAACTGCAGAGAGCGCCTGGCATTCCACCCGGCTGACTCCGTGACCTGTGGCAGGAACCGGTGTAGGCCCCTCTCCCTCACCTGTACAGCTGCAGGGTGTGACGGTTGCCTTGGTGAGTGATCTCGTATTTTGGCAAGCCGCAGTAGCGGTCCAGTTCTATATCATCTTTGTACCAGGTCACCTCTGGCTCTGGGTACCCTGAACAAGGAAGCAAGTGATTGAATAATATTAATGCAAGATCCAAAATAGGAGGGGTCAGAGCCGTGAGGGCTTCCCGCACTGCCTGAAGAGGTTGGACAGTACCCATGCCCTGGACCCTCTGGAAGCCCCACCCGCCCCTACTGTTCAGCTCACTTTTTCCCTCCAAAGGGAACAAAGAAAACCAGGGGAGCCCGGCGGTGGTGGCGCATGCCTTTAATCCCACCACTCGGGAGGCAGAGGCAGGCGAATCTCTGGGAATTCGAGGCCAGCCTGGTCTATAAGAGCTAGTTCCAGGACAGGCACCAAAGCACCAAAGCTACAGAGAAACCCTGTCTCGAAAAACCAAAAAAAAAAAAAAAAAAAAACAGGGGAAGCGACTTCTTAGGTTTCTAGTAGGAAGGGGTGAGGGGTTTCCAGCAACTGATAACTGGGGATAACAAACTTCCTTTCTATGATGGCCCATTCAATATCCTCGGGTACAGCAAGGACTCTGTCTCTTAGGCCGCCTCTACAAACCCCATCACTGCTGTGATTCCAAGTTCCTAAGCTGCATCCTTTGACAATACAATTAAAATACTCACCCATCCATCCACTCACTCCTGATCCACCTATCCACCAATTCACACACACACTCACACATACATACTCTTGATCCACCTACCCACCAATACACACACACACAGTCATACACACACACATAGTCACACACAAACACACAGTCACTGTAATGAGGGTAACTAAAGAACCTACCAGTTGCCAGGTGGTGGTGGTGTCACACGCCTTTATTTCCAGCACTCGGGAGGCAGAGACAGATGGATCTCTGTGAAGTCGAGGCCAGCCCAGTCTATAAAGAGAGTTCCAGGACAACCAGAGCTTTTATACAGAGAAACTACCAGTCCCTTCCTTTGGGACTCCCAGACTGCCCGTGTGGCAGAGCTCATAACTACATAGTCTCATGCCCCTTGCTTCCCTGGACACAGCTGATTGGCCCATTAATGTACATCAAGGCAGCTAATCTAAATTCTAGAAATGTCACTTTTATTTCTAATTGTGTTTGTAGTATATGCATGTACACATTTGTGTGCTTGCATGTGTGCATACATGTGTGTGGGAATAGGTGTGCATGCATGTGGAGGCCAGAGGTCAACACTGTGTCTTCTACATGTCGTTTTCCACATACACACCAACACCCAAGCCTACACAGGTGGTTTTCTTTTGAGGTTGATTCTCTCTTGGGTCTGGAGCTCCACTGAGGTCCTGCTGTCTCTGCCTCCCTTCGGCTGGAGTTCTAGGTGTATGCATCTACATCCAGGCTTTCATGCCGGCCAGCCGGCGCCTGGGATCACACTGGGTCTTCATGTTTGGAGGGCAAGCGCTTTCCTGACTGGGCTGTTCCCTAGCACCTGGACATGTAATTCTGAGGCTCTGTGAGACAGCTCTGTTGTTGAGGGGCTGATGCTGATTACAGTGAGAGACAGGGAACTACACTAACGGGAGTCACAGGGACGCCAACATTTGTCCAAATCCTGCTTCCAAAAAAAAACAAACAAACAAACAAACAAAAAAAAACAAATTCTGCTTCTAAACCTGGCATGGTGGTTCATGCCTACAGGTTCAGGCTAGCCTTGGCTACAAAATGAGAGGCAACTGTCTCAAAAGAAAAAGAAGGGGGGCTGGAGAGATGGCTCAGCGGTTAAGAGCATTGCCTGCTCTTCCAAAGGTCCTGAGTTCAATTCCCAGCAACCACATGGTGGCTCACAACCATCTGTAATGAGATCTGGCGCCCTCTTCTGGCCTGCAGGCACACATGGAAGCAGAATATTGTATACATAATAAATAAATATAAAAAAAAAAGAAAAAGAAGGGAGATCTTTTATTTATTCACTTACTTATTTATTTTTATTTTGTTGTTGGCTTTTGGGAATTTGTTTTGTTTTTGAGACTTTCTCTGTAGCCCAAGCTGTCCTTGAACCATGTAGACCACCAGGCTGGCCTTGAACTCATAGAGATCTGCCTGCCTCTGAGTGCTGGGATGAAGGTGTGCGCCACCACACAGAAGCCTGTAGAAATCTTTTATCGAGCTCTTTCTCCCCTGCTCCTGTTGCCTTTGCTACACCAGAGCTGTCCATCAAGGTCACCTGGGAAGTGCACATTGCTAAATCACTGATCGCTTCCCACACTGGTTCAAGCTGGTCAAAGAGCAGCAAAGACCCCTAAAGTGGCCATCTCCAGTCTGGCCCGTTCCCCTCAACAGCTGACCTGTATCACTGACTTTGTATTTGTGTCTGCACGCAAAGGCCGAGCAGCTGACAGGTGTGACCACATCAGAGTCCTCATTCTTATCTTAAGAAAATTCACACCAGCTCAGTAAGTGGACAATCCATCTGCCCAGTGTGGCTCGGGCCAAAGCAGGGGGCCGTTCTTTTCCCTTCCTTTCCCTCACACCCACTCTGCCAGACAGTCCTAAGGCTCTCCCCTTGGAACAGATCCAGAATCTGACCACTTCCTATCACAACCTGGTCCCCATCACCTTTGTCTCTAACTTGGATTCCAGGAAGACCTTCCTCGCTGACCTCGCTGAACTGCTTCCGTTCTGGCCTCTCTTCAGCCCATGGAAACACAAGAGGAGTGAAACTTCCCTCATGGTCTACTCATGCCCACACTCTCAAGGCCCCATGGGCTCCCATCTCACACAGGCCCACACAGTCTACGCCCTACTACTGCCCTCATCTCCTCTCCTCTCCCCTTTGCGAGCTGCGCCCCAACCTAGTCCTGCCGGCTCACTCTAACACAGCCCAGGAGGCCACACCTCAGCTCCTGTGGAGCTCCGCCTCCCAGATATCTCCTCAGAGACGCCCTCCTAACACCCCTGCAAGCCTACAGCTCTCTCCCCTCAGCACTTCCTCTTCATCATCGTTTCTTCCTAGAGCACACTGCCACAACAAGCTGAGTTTGTTAGTCGGTGTGCATCCTGCCCGTCATGGAATGTCCGCGTCACGACAGCGAGGACTTATCAGTGTTCTTTGCTGCTGTATCCCCAGTTCCTAGAATAGTGCCTGGCACGCCGTCCACCGCGAGTAAATATTTACGGATGAATACATCAACAGGGTATGAAGAGCCAAGGGTCCAGAGAAGGAAGCAAGCTCCTTGGCTGGGGTTTGAAGTGACACTTGATCTAGACCCAAAGACTAAGCAGAATTTCAGAAGACTCGGAAACACACCACCCCTTCCTTCCCCTAATCATGGTGCCCTGAGAGCCCAGCACCTGAGCCATCAGTCCTGCTAGACTCCAGACCCAAGTGGGCAGGAAGGAGCCTTTGTTTGCTTCTGTACCTCCTCCACCTGAGCCGCTGCCTGAGTAGTAGTTATTTCATAGATGAGCGAGTCAAGGAATAAGCGAACAGCAAACAAAGGATGGGGGGGGGGGGATATGCCTGACACAGGAACTGCCCCATGGCCTGTGAGGAAGAGCAGAGGGCAAGCCAGGGAACAGCACCCAGCAGCAGGGAGCAAGGGAGGCGAGGCTACAGCTGGCTTGGCCCGGGGACACACCAGGCTGTGCTGGCTGTAAATCGAGCCCTGTGTTTCCACTGTGTGCTAAAGCCCCTGGTTACATCACTGCACACGTGGTCCGGGCCAGCGCAGGTGCTCTCACCATCCTTGTGAGATGATCTCACCCACCAGGGCCTAAGAGTCTTTGGCTTCATGACCTGCCCGGGACATCCTCAGCCTCCAGTCCAGAGAGGCTGGAGTGGAGCAACGGTGTGGGGCGAAGAGGAGCCTGTTGAACACACACCCACAAACACACACACACACACACAACACACACATACACACATACTCAGCTACAGCCTCACCCCCATAGGGAGCTTCTTGTGAGTCTGCCCACAGTGGGGATCAAGCCGACAATCAAGGCTTCCTAGCAGGAATGGCTTTGAAAACGAATTTATTTGGGGAACATGCTGGTTATCCCCTGGATGATGTGAGCTCTATTATATAAACACACAAAAGCCGGACAGGCTAGGTTTTTGCCTCAGCTGAGCACACACCCCCTGAGCAGGTGTGTGTGTGCACACACCCCCTCAACAGGTGTGAGTGTGCACACACCCCCTCAGCAGGTGTGCGTGTGCACACACTCCCTCAGCAGGTGTGCATGTCCACATACAGAGAGACAGAGCTCTGGCCGGGAGAGTTCAAAACAAAACCTGAGCCAGTGTCCTCACATCGGCCCTTAACCTGTGATCCATTTCACAGCTAGCCGGCTGCCTAAGAACCCAACTTGGACACCCACAGCCTCATCCCAACCACTCCCAGTTTGGAGAAACTCAGATCTGAAGAAGTGGGAGTTGAGAGATTTAAGAGAACTCAGACATAGAATTCACTTGGTTCCCCTGAGCAAAACTGCTCACACTTATTGAAGATTTCCTGTGTGCCAGAAGCTGAGCTGAACGAAATACTCCCCATGTCTGTCTCATCTAACCCTTATGCTGGTCCTAAGGAGAATGCAATCACTAATCCTCACTGGAAGAAAAAGGCAATGAGGGTCTGCGAGTTGACTTGCCACTCTTGCAGAGGACTGAGGGTCAGTGACCAGAACCTCACAACTATCTGCAACTCCAGTTCCAGATCTGATGCCCTTTTCAGGCCACTTGGGCACTGGTGCACACATGATATACACATAAACTCTGGCACACACACACACATACACATTTTTAAGTAGGTTTTTTTGTTGTTGTTGTTGTTGTTTTGTTTTTTTTTTTTTTTGGAAAATGAGCCTGGTGCTGGTGGCACATACCTTTAATCTCAGCACTTGGAGGCAGAAGCAGGGAGATCTCTGTGAGTTCGAGGCCAGTCTGGTCTACAGAGCGAGTTCCAGGACAGCTAAGCCTACACAGAGAAACCCTGTCTTGAAAAAAAAAAATTAAAAAGAAAAAAAGGAAAAGGAAACCAAGGTTCATGAAATTAAGACTTCTGCAAAAGTCACCTAGTGAGTAAGCAGAGGTCTGAATTCACATCCCTCTCCGCTATAAAAGAGATAGCTGTAACCCTGCATCATACAAGAGGAAACCAAGCTCCACGGGGCCTAAGGGAGCTCTGCCCAGGGTCTAGCCTTCTTTCCAAAGGGTTCTGGGGTTAATGTATAAAATTTTGCTCCTAAAAAGTTGTCATATTAGACTTACTTCCCCTCCAAAAAAACATTTTTTGTTTTTTGAGACAGGGTTTCTCCGTAGCTTTTGGTTCCTGTCCTGGAACTAGCTCTTGTAGACCAGGCTGGCCTCGAACTCACAGAGATCCACCTGCCTCTGCCTCCCGAGTTCTGGGATTAAAGGCGTGCACCACCACTGCCCGGCCATTTTTTGTTTTTTGAGACAGGGTTTCTCTAGGTAGTCCTGGCTGTCCTGGAACTCATTTTTGTAGACCAGGCTGGCCTTGAACTCAGAGATCTACCTGCCTCAGTGTCCCACTGGGCCATCACCACTTGACTTTTTTCTTCTTTAAGAAATGTGGTTCTTGGAGGCTGGAGAAATGGTTCAGCAGTTGGAAGCATTGTCTACTCTTCCAGAAGATCCCAGTTCAATTCCCAGAGCCCACATGGCAGCTCACTCCTATCTGTCTCTCCAGTTCCAGGACTTCTGACAACCTCACACAGATGCATATGCAGGCAAAACACCAATGCACATAAAATACAAATAAACTATGTTTTAAAAAGAAAAAAATGTGGTTCTTACTACAGGTTAGTTCCCTTGATTCACCTGCCTAACCTACCTCTGAAGCTTCCTTCTTCCATTTCAACATGTGGCCATACACATATGAGTACATACACACCCAATATAGAGTGCACCCCAGAACTGAAGAGAGTAGAGGGATGCCAGCACACTGGGTTGAAATGAGCTGTCTGAGATTGTAGCATTCCAGCCTCAAGGGGCCTGCAGGACCCAGGAATCAGACTGCCCAGCCTTAGGTCCACTGTCTCCTATTCTCCCACTGTGAACAAAACAAACCCCGGAGGTCCCAAGTTCCTTCTCCAGGTCTGCCTCCTGGAACAGCCTGGTACCTGCTCCCTGCTCCCCTGGTACACGTGAGTCTTCCTCAACAGGACACAGGTCCAAACAGAGGAAAGCATCACCAGTGCCTGGTGAGGCCCTGGAGCCAGGTCCTGACCCATCAGGGATGCTTCTGGCAGGAAGAGAAACTGATGCGGTCCCCCTGCATCCATTAAGAGAAGCCAGGGACAGCAGCAACCTCACACAGAGGCCAGTCTCAGCCACTGATCAGCCAGGAACACCTCCTAACTGAGGAGACCTAGTGTCTGATGCTGTCTCCCGAGTTCTGGTGCTCTCTCCTTTTCTCCCCTCCCCAGTTCCTACAACCACATCTTCTCCTTGTTCGTTTCTGGTACACGGTGATACCATGGTGACCACTTTCTAATCTGCTACAGAGAATTGAATGCACTGAGATTTGGAAAGTCTGTGGGAATAAAAAGGGGGAGGCACAACAGCAATGAAAATATGGATATTATAGTTTCCCAGAGCCCCGAAATCTGTACCAGCTCACTTGGTAGGTCCTCCTCAGTAAAAGATCCTGACCTGGGCTGGTCAGCATGAGATGCAGGGATTAAAAAAACAATGTCTCTGAGGACACAGGTTATAGGTGCGTGCTCAACTGTAATCCCAGCACTCAGGAAGATGGGGCAAGAACTCCAGTTTAAGGTCAACCTAGGCTACATATTAAGACCTTGTCCTAAAACAAAGCCTAAACCAAACAGAAACCTGCTGAGTATGGTGTCTAATCTCAGCTCTCGGGAGACAGAGACAGGCGGATCTCTGTGAGCTCAATGAGACAATTGATAAAGGTTCTTCCTACCACGTCTGACAAACACACATTAAAATAACATGTATGTTTTTTAAAAATTATTCCTTTGGGCTCAGTGTTTTTTAAAACACTTGCTATGTGAGCCTGACGACCTGAGCTCAGCACCTGGATTCCAGAATGGAAGGAGAGAACTAACTCTTGAAGGCCGACCTCCACGTGTGTGTTTTGGTATGTGTGCTCAAACACGTTTCCCTCTCTCTCTCTCTCTCTCTCTCTCTCTCTCTCTCTCTCTCTCTCTCTCACACACACACACACACACACACACGCACACACTAATAATGCTTTTTAATTGCTCCTTTGGATTGGGCTTGAGGAAAAGACATACTCTCATGAGGAAAATGTCCCATGATTCTGCACACCAAACTGGTGTCTGGGAAGCGCACATTGATTCTGAGAAGCCATGACACCCTGGGTGCCTGCTCTTGCTGAGGAATTGGCCAGGCAAAGCAGCAGGGTCTTCTAGGTAGCAGAATAAACATTCGAAGGAATAGGGACCCACACGGACATGCACTCATGCACACACATACACACACATGTGCGCATACATGCACGCACACACATACGAACACATACATGGGGAGAACAGGCAAGAAGAGAAAATTTTGTAAACAGGAAGCAGATAGGCAAGCACACTCAAGAGAGCCAAACCCTGAGTTTAGAAGCAGTAGAAATGGAGAACTAAAGGAAAGGAAGGTTAAAGGGGCTTTAAAACCAGAATTTTGGGCCTTGTACACGCACACCTGTAGTCCCAGCACTCAGGAGGCTGGGGCAAAAAGAATCCAGTTTGAGGCCAGCCTAGACCACAGTTAAGACCCTGTCCTAAAACAAAGCCAAATAAACAAGAACCTGCTGAGTGTGGCGGCGCCCGCCTTTAATCCCAGTGCTCGGGAGGCAGAGACGGGCGCATCTCTGTGAGCTCAAGACCATCTGGTCTATATAGAGATTCTGGGCCAGCTAGAGATGCTTAGTGAGACCCTGTCTTAAAAAGCATCAGCAGCAACAAACAAACACGGTAGCTCATAACTACAATCCCAGGTTCTGGAAAGACAGATTGGTGGAAGGGATAAATGACTATATTTTGATAAATATCTTTTAGTATAATTTGAAACCTTAAAATATGTACATGTATTGATTTGATACAATAAAATTTAATTTTCTTTGAGACAGGTGTCATTCATGCCAAGATGGCTTATAACTGTCTGTGTAACAGAAGATGACCTTGAACCCACGATCCTCCTGCCTCCCCTGCAGAATGCTGGGATCACAGGAAAGCCCACCATTGATTTACACAGAGCTGCAGGACAACTGCACAGGTTCCGCATGCCAGGCATGTGCTCTACCAACTGAACTACATCCCAGTTCCCGATTTTCTCCAAATAGAATTAAAGACATTCTACAGAAAGCGGCATATAAGAACGTGCGGAATGAGGTTATTTTTCTTTTTTCTTCTCTTCTTTTTTTTTTTTTTTGTTTTGTTTTTTGTTTGTTTGTTTTTTGAGACAGGATTTCTCTGTGTAACAGCTCTGGCTATCTCCTAGAACTCACTTTATAGACCAGGCTGGCTTTGAACTCACAGAGATCCACCTGCCTCTGCCTCCTAGATCCTGGGGTTAAAGGCGTGTGCCACCACAGCCCAGTGGGAGGTTAGTTTCTAGGGAACCACTGCAGTTGCAGTATCACAGAGTGCCGCAGAGACGCGGGCGCGGGCAGAGCCGCGGAGACGCGGGCGCGGGCAGTGCCACAGAGACTTGGTCAAGGGCAGTGCACAAGGCAAAGCAGCTAGCTCCTCATGACTTGGGTGGCTCACCCAGCTTCTTCTAACTTCGTCCTTGGCAAAACTGGGCTAACAATAGCGCTTACTTCACAGGGTTTGGAAGAATTCAGTTGGAACACACCACGTCATACAAAGATAAAGGCTACAGGGGAGGGACAGTGGGTGTCTCCAGCAGACGTGTTGGACAGCCCTGGTCAATGGGACAGCTATCCATGGAAAAATCAATCCCAAAGAAGCTGTTTAGCTGGCTGGGCTAAACAAATCCACCCCCAAGATCAGGAAATGTGACAGCTAGAAACCACCCAAACCCTTGACTAACTGAAGAAAAACAAGAGAAAGGAGATGGGGGAGCTGTCTTGGAGATGTATGAGTCTGGGCCCTTAGAAATGGTGAGCACAGCTGCCGGTAAATACCCTGTAGGCCTTGAGGCAGGTCAGGTTGGTGCAGAGGGAAGCTGTACCCGGAGGCATGGGAAAGGAACAATGCCTGGAGCCAGGGTCCCAGAACTCCTAACCCCGGCTTCCAAAGCTCACTACTGGGCATCTTACTTAAAACCCAAAAGGGGACTCAGCGGAAAGTGAAGTCTTGATTCCCATCACTTGTATGTACTCGCGGTGCTAGTCCAGTGGCTAAGCAGATATTAACTCCCTCAGGCTCACAATGCTGTGCCCTTAATAGCAGCCTGCCCATCACCATATCCTGGGAAGGCTCAGTTAGGATTCCAAGCCAGGCAGTTTGCCTCCAGAGTCTATGGCTGCAGTAACCATGATTTACTGTCTCTCAGGCTAGATACCCCAAGTCACAAACGGCTCAACTATTAAGTGGGCTGTTCGATGAATGGCTTGATCAATCATCAGCTGTGAATATACTTGAAGAAGAAACTTGGCTGAGCACGGTTGGGGGTTTGTTGCCTTTGTTTACTGTCTTTGGTGACAGGGTCCCATGTAGCCTACCCTGGCCTCAGATTAATTATGTAGTTGAGAATGACCTTAAACTTCTGACCTTCTTGTCCTCCCAAGTGGTGCCAAGGGTAAAACCCAGGGCTTTGTTTACGCTAGTGAGCACTCTACCACCTGACCAACTGAGCCACATTCTACACACACATACACACACACACACACACACACACACCATTCCAGAAGACAGGGACCAGCCCACACACAGAGTTTAACCAGGGGAGGGGGTAACTAAAGTCAGTGCCCTCAGTTTGGTATGTACAACCTACCACCCCCCTCCATACCCATTTCATCCTCCCGGGACCCTGCTCTATGCAGAAACCCTGGCAGGGGCCTTATCAATAGCTTCATTACCTGTGACAATGCAGGTGAACCTGACGTCACTGTCTTCGGACACAGCCCGGGACTTGAGTGTGGTCTCAAATAGCGGCTGGGTCTCTTCTGTGAGCTGGGCAATGATGGAGCAGAAAGTGCTCCTAGAAAAAGCAAAAACCAATTAGAGTAGCCCTCCCTAGAGAATATCTTCCGGCCTTGCCTTGCCCAAGTGTAAGCCTTACCACGTTTGGCAGACATCCTGAGGCCAAAGATCCTGGGCGTACCTGAGCAAGTCTTTATTCAAGAGCACCTGGGCTTCCTGGCCAGGTTGGGGGCGGGTACTAAGAGATTGAATGCGATTTCGACCCAGGGCCATTACAGTAGGCAAGAGGCTGACAATAGACCAGGCTCCTGAGCACAGCAGACTGCCATCCTCCATATCCCCATCAAATCCTTACTGGGGGATTGGAGGGAGCTGGCTTCACCCTCCATCTTCCTCTTCAGGGATTGGTATGTGGGAGAGATACACATGAAGATACATCAAGCCTAGCATAGCACAGACATGCCAAAGAGGGAAAAGCCAGCCAGCCCTCAAGGATTCAGAGATCCTGAAGGCCTGGAACTATGTATATCCCAGAGCTCGGGTTCAGAAGAAAAGCACCAGCATTTGTGAACACAGGCCATGGTAGATGAAGAATGAGCTGGCAATGCCAGCGGCCTTGGCCCTTAAGGGGACTCGACTTTATGGGTTATCAGATGAATTTTGGTGCCACACAGAGCTATGGGGTGGCACTAGCAAGCTAGCCATGGCTCCTCTGCTCCTCCTATGGACACCACGTGCTGAAGCAAGGCTGGCAACTGTACAGGACTGCCAAGCCACAGACTGACTCCTGGACAAGCCAGAACTCTTGGTTCCCCTGTGACAGAATCCCTCTTGCAGAACTTAGCTGCATCTGCGGTCTTATAACGTCTATCCCAAACTCACCAACAATCCTCAGGGCTCACAGTCCACTCCCTCCTGGGCGCAGGAAGTAAACCTCGGTGCCAAACCCTTTCGTGGGCCAGCAAAGACAGTGCATTCCCAGGCGTGCAGCTCAACCACATAGCCAGGTTGTGTGGTACACAAGCTGTGCCCAGCCCTCCTCCCCTCTCTGGGCACACACCCTTCGTGAGCAGCAGTGGGGGGACCTTGAAGGAGAAATTCAACCGAAGCAGAAGGAACCATAGGGAAAGGCAGATCATTCCAAGTTGCCTTTCTCTGGACCTCAGAGGAAGGTGTGGACCCCAAAAGCCATATTCACCTGCCCGTGAGTGTTTAATAGGTATAAAGGGGAATGTGTGGGATGCAGAGGGGGTAACCCTACATACTCTGCTGGGAGAAGGCTCCATGGTCAACGTATCTTTTCTATAAACATTACTCTGCACTTAAGTTCTACGAGAAAGTTTGAATCCTCAGAAGTGTTTTTAATCACGTTAAGACTTCTAGATTGAAGGTGTCTAGGAATGCAAACACCCAGGCATTGGAGAGCTAGCAGGAGCCTTCCCTCTAATGTCCACCCAGGATGGGGATCTCCCTCTCATCCACCTGAACACTGAACCAGGCCTGCAAGGTGCATTTGGTAGCATCCAGCAGCATCTGGTAGCATCCTCTCACTGAGTAATCGATTGTCGAATAGAATTAGCACTATTCCTTCTCCTTTAAGTCATTCAGAGATAGAGACCCTTCTGGGGCCTAGGCTTCAACTCCCTGAACACTTAGAATATAATGTCTAGAAAGATTTCTTTTTCCAGACAGCGTGTTGCTATGTAGTCTAGAAGTTGTGATCGACCTGTTTCAGCCTTCCAAGTAGCTGTGATTGACGACCCTGAAAATGTCTCAAATATTTCTTTTTCTTTCCTTTTCTTTTTCCTCCTCCTCTTTCTCTTCTTCTCCTTCTTCTTCCTTTTTAAGACAGGATTTTTTTTAATGTGGTCCTGGCTGTCCTGGAACTCAATATGTAAACCAGGCTGGCCTCAAACTCACAGAGATTCCCCTGCCTCTGTCTCCCGAGTGCTGGGATTAGAGACATGCACCACTGCACCCTATCTGAAAATGTTTCTTGTTCCTATCATATAATAGCAACTTCTGACTTGGACTTTCTAGAAAGTTCTATGCCAAATATAGCCCCAACTGCTGTTAATCCTCGTTGCATTACATAACTTGTTTTTGGCTTTTGCTTGTTGTTTGAAGCAGACTTGAGGTTCTATCTTATTAAATTTATGTATTTCCTTTGTGAGAGAGAGACAGACAGACAGAGTATGTGAAAGAATGGGGGAATGAGAGAGAAACTCTGTGTGTGTGTGTGCATATGTGTGTGTTTGTGTGTGCATGTGTGTGCACATACACGTGCATTTGCATGTTTGTGTGTGTGTGCACGCATATGTGTGCATTTGTGTGTGCACTTGCGTGTACATGTGTGCACATGCGATCCGGGCCCAAATGCGCCACTGCAGACACATAGTGTTCAGAGCACAGGCTGCACTTCTTTTCCCTTCCACTTTTGCGTGGGTTCTAGAGATTGAACACAGGTCACCAGCCTTGAGCAACAAGGAAGTGCCCTGGCCTGCTGAGGCATCTTTCTACTCTGTTCTATTCTCTGGGAATTTTGGTTTGTTTGTTGAGACAGTGTCTCAGTGTATAGCTCTGACTGACCTGGAACTTTTTATATAGACCAGGCTGGGACAGGGAAAGTCACTCAACACTTTTGTGTTCTGGTGACCATCATACAGCTTCTGGTTGCCATAGCTTTCTGTCCCTGTCCTCCACTCTGGTGGGCTAGACTCCTGGTGATCCTATCCAGGCACCCAAGAAACCAGGAAACACACACACATCTGGTAATGGTCTTTCCAACCACTTCCAAGTCCATCCAATTCCATGACTTTTAATTTATTTTTTTGTTTGTTTTTGATTTTGTTTTTTGAGACAGGGTTTTTCTGTAGCTTTGTAGCCTGTCCTGGAACTAGCTCTTGTAGACCAGGCTGGTCTTGAACTCAGAGACCTGCCTGTTTCTGCCTCCTGATTAAAGCCATGCACAATCACTGCCTGATTTCCTTGATTTTTTAATGGTATCATGGGCTCCTAAGAATCTTGGAGAATCCCAGAATCAAGGTTTCCATGATGTTCAAAGGAACCTAACCCTGTCTTGGGTATGCTATTGCCCTCCCTCTGAACACCCCCGGGTCCTCTCTCTTGGCACTTCCATACATCACTCTGTATCACCTGGGCTCCCCTCACTTCCTCCCAGACCAAAGTTTCCTTGGTGTTCATCCCCATCAAGAACCAAGCATACCCTAAGAATTAACTAATCAGGCCTGAAGACATGATGAACAGAAACCAGTTGGCTAGTCAAAAATCTTCCTCTGTGTGAAAAAACAAAAACAAAAAACAAATAATAACAACAACAACAACAAAAAAAAAACCCTGTGGCTAACTCTGCCCAGACCTCCAGTCTGGGATGGGGCCCAGGAGGTAAGAAGTGGCCAGGGAACAGTCCCACTCTGATGGAAACAGTCTGTTCAGCCAGCGCTAGGGAGTTGTCCCCAACCTAGCAGATGAAAGGGCAACCCTCAAGCCTTGACCACAGACTTGCTCAGGTGCTGAGCTGGCTCCAGTCAGAGGATACACAGGAGAATAAGGTGGTCTTCTTTGATCTCCCAGAGTTCTGAGTCTCGGAGGGTGGGGCCGAGTCAATGGGAAGGAAAATTCAAAGGAAGAAAAGGTAGCAGGTGACGTTACAGGATGACAGGGGGAAAAAAATCGTAAAAGACAGGGCCACTATTACAGAAAGATGGATAAGGCATTGTGTGACTCCTGTGGCTGGTGGCTGCTCGCGTGTCCCCGGCGGTGTCTGTTCCAAAGGCTATCGATGCAAGCATCTCAGCAGCTTTTCCCCACATCTTTGCTCCTGAGTCCAGGTCCATGCAAGCATCACTTCTGGTCCCTGTGAGACCCATGCCCGGGTTAGTACCCTCTTACACCCTCCCCATCATCCCATGCAGCCTGGTTAGTGGACAAGCAGTCACCCTGCGGCCTCTCAAGGCCTCTCAAAAGCAGTCGGAGAATGTAATGCAATGTGGGTTTACCTTCCAGAGCTGGGGTGAGACAACCGGTTGCTTGATAAGCTAAGCAAAAACAGTAAACGGAATCATTAGGCCCAAAAGCAAGGAGAGGAGGCAACAATCAACAACAGTCCCGAAGTATTAATCAGCCACCATCTGAAGCCCAGAGGCTTTGCTATTAAAAGGAACCAGCTGTCTTAGTTGGCCACTCCCGTTAGCAGCAAGCGGCCTCACCACTGGACACCAATGTATCTGAAACCAAGAGCTCTTTAAGTGCAGCTGAGTCCAGGAAATCGGTTAGGCAGGATGGAGATCCCTGGGGATTGTGCTTTGGTAGAAAGGTGTACTTCGGGCATAAATCTCTTTCCCCAGAGGGATGCCTACGCCTGTTCCCCCCGCCCACAGCCTACCAGCCTGTGGGTAGCTGCTGCTTCAGGTCTTGAGAGCAGCCTCATTCCTGGAAATCCCCACGCAGGCTTGGAGGAGACAGGTGGCTTGGAGAACGCCCACCATTAATATGTTAAAGTACTGTTAAAGAGCAAGGCAAACCAGCTGGGAGAGCAGAGAGGAGGAAGACAAAGCAGTTAATTCAGCAGGAGCTAGAGACACCCAGCTCCCTCGGTCCAGCATCACGTCCTCTTTAGAGGCACAGAAGAGGGCCTCATTCTCCGTTGGGGAGCGAGGCCCACATTGCAGTGAAGCACCAGCCCTTTGGTGTTGACCTCAAGTCTTTGGGAGGCGGCAAGGGCCGTCCCCGCCCCTGTACACACCCCTTCACTTCACCCTTCTTTATGGCTCCCCAAGGCTGCCCAATGGCACTCAGGGAAGCTCATTTCCATCTCTTGATAACCCGCCCTTCTCTTTCATGGCGCCTGGGTTATTTGGATGCCACCAGCATCCTTCCAAACTCCAAAGCTCGAAACCTGCCATCTCGAACTCTTCATTGTCCTTTTCTATAACACTCTCTCCTGGCTGTGCCTTGATCTACATCCTGGCAATTCCACACTCAACAGCTCCCCGCCCCCTTCATCCCATGATCCTCTCACAGACTGTTGTTTGAGTTTGGGTTTGGTTTTGTTACCCTGTTTGCTTGTTTGATTGATTTGGGGGAGGGGGATGAGGTCTGATGTAACTTCAAACTTCCTGTGTAGCCAAAAGTGGTTTTGAATTCATAGTGATCCTCCCGCCTCAGCCTCCCAAGTGCTAGGATTACAGGCATACGCCATCATACTTGACTTCACACACTGCTGTGTAGAAAATGTCGCGGGACACCTACCGCCTATGTGTCCAGACTCAATTGTGTCAACAGTTAAGGTTCTCTCTGGACTTTTTCTTTTTCTGGTTTTTCGAGGCAGGGTTTTTCTTGTAGCTTTGGAGCCTTTCCTCGAACTCGCTCTTGTAGACCAGACTGTCCTGGAACTCACAGAGATCAGCCTGCCTCTGCCTCCCGAGAGCTGGGATTAAAGGTGTGTGCCACCACCGCCCAGTTTCTCTCGGACTTCTTCACAGTCCCTTCCAACACTCAGGTTCTACTGCAGCCAAGGCCGTCCAAGCGAGGCCACAGCCAAGGCCACCACTTCTCTCCTTCCTTCTGGTCGGCTAAGCCCCGCCCACACAGCCAGCCCCGCCCACGCAGCCGTTTAGCAGGTCTTTTTGTAGCTTCTGTGGCTCTTCAGGTAGTGGTGCTAGGCGTACAATGGATCATCACGGCTGTTCTTACGAGAGGAGAAGGAGGTGGGGGAGGAGGAAAGGGAAGCATTTCCAGGAGGAAGGGTCCTGCCCACTCCCCCCAAGCAGCTGCTTTGAAGAGTCTGGCAAAGGGTACACACCACAGGTGCCTTTGCTGGGAGTCTTATAACTCCTCTGGAGGCTGCGTAGGCACTGGCAACCCTATCCTTTCCCGACCGCGAACTGCCTTTGTCTGTCTCCTTGGGGTTGAGAGGTTTCCCCTTGAGTCTGGACCTCCTCCCTAGAAGGAGGCATTGGGCCAGCTTTTCTAATTTACAACGGAAAATGACAGGTTCCACCTCCACGTGGGCAAGAGACTGGGCCGAGACAGTGTGTCCTTCCCAGGCCTCTCGGGCTGTTTGTGAGGTTTTGTTTCCTGGCCCCATTGTCTCTCCGCCTCACCTTACATGTTTGCTTGTGAACGTTTTTTTTTAAGGTTTTATTTTTATTATTTTAAAACGATCTGCACATGTGTATGTATGTGAGAGGCCAGGTGCCCTATGAGGACAGCGGCATCAATTCCCTGGAGCTGGAGTTACAGGTGGGGGTGAGCCGCCCAGGGTGGGTTCCGACCAGATCCTCTGAAAGAGCGATGCACACTCTTAACTGCTGAGTATTCGCGCCAGCCTGATTTATATTATTTTTAATTATGTGTATGGGGTGAGAAGGATGTGTAGATGTGTATGGATACCATTGGAGGCCAGAAGATGGCATCAGATCCCTTGAGCTGTGGTGACCGTTGTGGGTGGCCCAGCTTGGATCGTGGGAACCAAATCCTGTGGTTTTTGTTTTTTGAAAAAACGGTAAGTTCTTTTAACTGATGAGCCATCTCTCCAGCCCCTTACCTTACATGTTAATCAGACCAAAAGAACCTGGTCCTCAAAATGCAGATCTGTTGGGGCCTAGCTGATTGGCTAATCCTAGCAGAGGAGCTTCTGGGGTGGGGGGCAGGAAGGGTGCGAAACATCTAATGTTGGAACTGAAGAACCTTAGAGTTCTTGTCATTCTCCCATTGCAAAATACAAATTCGGGCCCAGAAAGCCAGTCCTCCTCATAAAGGGGCAAACAGACCTGGAAGAACCAGGGCTCGCATGGATGCTGGGGGCCTCCCCTGGCTCTGCTTGTCATCTATAACGGGACATAAAAGGCCTCTTGAAAATTCTAGACCATTGCCTTAGTTTCCCTAACACCCTAGACAACCTGCCTTACCCAGGAGGGCGACAGCGGTTGTTTCGAAATGATCTGTAGCGATATCAGAGCCCTCTGCTCCTATGAGCCCACCAGGGTCAGGGCCTTCACGAAACAAGAGGCCAGGGGCTTGAGAACTTTTGGGTACCACACAAAAGTCAGTCCTAACTGTTTACTCTCCACTCCACTCCAATTCTTTTTTTTTTTTTTTTGTGGTTTTTTTCAAGACAGGGTTTCTCTGTAGCTTTGGAGCCTGTCCTGGAACTAGCTCTGTAGACCAGGCTGGTCTCGAACTCACAGAGATCCGCCTGCCTCTGTATCCTGAGTGCTGGGATTAAAGGCGTGCACCACTCCAATTCTTTAAAGTTCTCCAGCCTAACTGCATCCTACCTTCCTAGAGGATGAGCAGAGATTGGCTATCAGATAGGACAGCCAACTGGGACTATCTTCTTCTGACCTCAGTGAGGGGCAAAATAACCTTGAACTGACCTGAGACTAACCCCAGCACTCTGGAAGCAGAGGCAGGCAGATCTCTGTAAATTCAAGGCCAGCCTGGTCCACAGAGTGAGTTCCAATATAGCCAGTGCTACACAGAAAAACTCTTGTCTCAAAAATATTCAAAAAACAAAGAAACAAAACAAAAACAAAAGCAAGCAAACAAACAAAAGCCCTGCTGCAGATCTACAGAAAGGCGGACCCGGAATATTCTGGATCCAAACTGAGCGAGGGCAGAACTTGCCTCTCAGCCAGGACCAGGCATGGTCAGGGCTCAGCTGGGCTGGAGATGAATGCAGCTAGCAGTCCTCAAGCGACCCCTCTTCTCTCTCTTCTCTTTGTTTCTTGGGCTCCCTCCACCCCCACAGGCTGAGGGGCAGCAGAGTGCACAGATTCCTCCAATAGAAGTCAGACCTTCCCACAGCCCTGGGAACTGTCCCTCTGCCCACCCCAGTGCAGCCCCCTTCACAATCTTTTTTTTTTTTTTTTTTTTCTTTTTCCAATGAGCTCTTCCAGAAGCTAAAAAACCTGGCTGCTCTAGTCAGGTCCCGTGGGGGGTGGGGGCGGGAGGGTCGTCTGCAGCCAGTTGGCAGGAGGTGAAAAAGTACAGGCTAAAGTGTCCCAAGTCCAAGGCTAGAAAAACCCTAACTCCCGCTGCTCCTGTCCAGAGCCTTCAAATACCCAACAAGAACAGCCCTGCTAACAGCATCGCCACTAAGGTCCGAGGACTCAAGCCAGACAAGCCTTTCTTACTTCCAGCCCTCCGCCTGGCACACTATAAAACTGTCTAACACTAGCTCAGCCAGAAAACAGCCCCGTGCCCAAGCCTCCAGCCTTGTTCCTAGGAGCCCAGATCATGAACCCACTCGGCTCTGCCCGGCTTTCAAACCATCCTTTCTTCCCTTCCTCGCCTGCTACATCTCCAAGAAAAAGCCTGCTTCCTCTCCTCCTTCTTCCACTGGTATTGACAAAAGCCAGATACAGAAATCAGCAATGCCCAGCTAAGTCACATGGGAGATAAACGTGGGGCACTCACTAGGGAGGTGGCTTCACTAAGGACTACAATAAATGTCCATATTTCATTGCAATGTTCCACAGAGCCGATAACTGGGGAAAGGGTGTCCCACCACAACCCCCCAGCAGCCCAGAAGCCTGTCTGAGTCTGACTGGGTCACTCACACCAGCCCTCAGCCCTGCCCCAAACATGTGACGCCGTTTGCAGAGTTTTAGGCAGAAACAGGTTCCGGTTACAGTTGAACTTTTCCAACTCCAAGGTCAATAGGACTCAGCCCATCCAAGAGGAAGCACCCAGGGCTTTTCCTGAATGTCATTGGCGCCCCTCTTTTTTGTGTGCTTTTGAGAGCAGACGCCCACAGCAGTGGCTCAGAGAAGCAACTTCTGCAGAACACACAGACCAAACTCTGTGGTAAGGAGTAACGCCTATTCCACGCACCACCACTGCCCCATTTCCCTTTGGAAAACGGGCTCAAGAGTGGCGGGAAGCCGGGCTGTCCACCGAGGGCAGGAAGTTTGTCTGTGGGGGCAATGCCCTTTTTTTTTTTTTTTGAGTGTCTGCATCTTTGAGAGTCTTTGCAGAAATTTGCCTATTGTCTGTGTGTCCTTGTATCTAGGAGTAACATAGTTCCTAAAACAAAGTCTTCAAACGTCTTTAACTCCAAGAAGACCAAAGAAGAGCTCAATCAGCTCCACCCCTCCAGAGGCATCTCAACCCCCCACGGGTCTTGAGACTGGGCAGAGCAATTGACTTCTTCAAAGTTTCAAGCCATAGATCCCTCCCTGGTTTCTCAGACAGAGCCACCTCCTGGCACCCCTTCCTCTCAGCTAGACACAGCACAGTGCTAGAAGGCCCCTCCTGGGCCCAGCCGAGGGACTTGAGTTATCCCACCCCTGTCTGGCTCTCACTCTAAGCTAAACAGCCTTCACTGGTTCCCCCACACCCACCCACCAGCAGCTTCCCCTGCTGTGAAGCAGAGGAATTTCAGCCACTCTGGGTCTCCTTATCACTAACTGTGGAATTCAGCCCTGGGAGTAGCCCGGTGTGGGGTGAGGGAAGCGAAAAAGCCTTTAGACCCCCGTAAAAATCTCCTCAAATTCTCCTCTTTTGGGCAACACATTTGAGGTACACGGGGTCTCAAGGGGTCAAAAAGAGTACCATGAGGGTCCCTTCTGGCCTGGTTCTGTCCCCAGGTTCTGTCTGTGCCTTTGAGTTGAGAAAACTCGAGGGCACGGGCCTCGCCCCAGGCCTCCAGAGCTTGGGGCACTTCTGAGAGCCTGGCCACACCCGGCCACCACCCAAGGGGCAGATGGGGCCGGCGACCCAGGGCCCAGGCGACTCACCTAGTCTCCGGCCGCACGCTGAGCAGATAGCTGCGACTAGTCGGGCCGGGCGTCCACACCGGCCCGTCGTCCTCGCCATCACCACCCGCCCCTGCCCGTACACCCAGGCCCCAGCCCCGGCCCACAGCCCTCCGCGACCCCATGGCACCGCCACCCCTGCCTCCAGCCCCAGCTCCTGCCCGACGCTGACGCGCGCCCCTATTTATAGCCCAAGACTGCTGTCACCTGCTGCTGTCCCTCCCCCGGACGAGCGGCTCCTCAGCCTGACCCTAGGGCCAGGGAGGCCTGCAGAGAAGCGCTGCCGAATGCCAGCCCTGAAGCAGAAAGAAAGGGTGCCTAGAACCCCGGACTCCCCACAACCGTCTTCTGGCCCCCTTCCGGTTTTCAGAGAAGCCTGTAGAAAGAAAGAGGGTGGCAAAGAGGCTCAAGGAAAGGGGAGTTTGAGAGAGATCCTGAAAGGGCCCCACTACCTCCACCTGGCCTGCAGTCTTTAGGCCAACACTTAGACAAACTCTGTCACCTCTATCGGCGACCCCCCTCTGTCCAAAGAGCCCAAGATTCCTGGGTACACATTCTGTGTCTTCCCAGAACCCCCACCAGTATCTACCATATGTTAGCCTCAACTAACTACGTCTCAACAAAGGCTTCGAGAATAACCCAGCCTCTTCCATCCCTGCAGGCTTCATTTCCTAAGGTCGGAAGGGGGAAACGGGCCAAGTCCTAAAGCCTAGAAAAATGATCATGTTCTTCAACATTTCCAGAACAAGCTGCTAAGCGCTGCCTAAAACGGGTGCTTACTTTTTGGGAGCGATTTATCGGTTCCTTCAGTGGATTTATCTGTTCCTTCCACATCCCTGCACCTAGAAACAGCCTGCTCCAAGTGACAGAAAGTGGGAGTGACCGGTGCAATCCTTTGCTCTCTGGTTGGATTCCTACCCCACTCTGTGGAAACGGCCTTTCCCCCACTGCTTTGTAACTATCTTTCTCCTCTTCTGGCCTCAGCCCACTGGAGTCTGACTCAGCCAGACCATTCACGGTGATCTCCTGACCACAGACCCAACCTGTGCCAATTAAAGGTCTTCAAAATGCTCTTTTATTGCTGCCGCTCCTGGTGCTGCCTGTGTGCTCCTTCAGTGCGGACCTGGTGCCTCTTTTGTGAAGCGGCAGCTGAGGAGACTCCGGCGTTCGCAATGGCCGACGAGAAACCCAAGGAAGGAGTCAAGACCGAGAACAACGACCATATTAATCTGAAGGTGGCGGGGCAGGATGGCTCTGTGGTGCAGTTTAAAATTAAGAGGCATACACCACTTAGTAAACTAATGAAAGCCTATTGTGAACGACAGGGTTTGTCAATGAGGCAGATCAGATTCCGGTTTGATGGACAGCCAATCAATGAAACAGACACACCTGCACAGTTGGAAATGGAGGATGAAGATACGATTGATGTGTTCCAGCAGCAGACAGGAGGTGTCTACTAAAAAGGGAACCTGCTACTTTACTCCAGAATTTTGTTATAGACCAAGAATACATTCGCAATTAGAAAGCCGCAATTTGGTTCCACCACATCCTGACTACTATAGTATAGTTTTCTCTATTCTTTCATTTCCCTGTCCCCATTTCTTTATTGTATATAAAGTAACTGGTGTATGTGCACAAGCATATTGCGCTTTTTTTCTTTCTTTTTTTTTTCTTCTTTTTTAAACTAAATGGCCAATGTTCTGTTTTGATTGACAGCAGATGGAGGTGGTTTGGGGGAAAGTACTGGTTCCGTGAAAATATCCCCCTGCTCCATTAGTGGCATGCTCGCTCATCAGCTCTTATCTTTATATTCCAGTAAGTTATTTTGCTCTCAATGTTTTAACAAAAGAACCCAACCACAAAATCCTTGCATACCTTGTTCGATTGGAGAATTTTAATGTTTTTCATTTATCATTGTAAAACCAAGGACAATTTTATAACTTTTTTGTACGTAGCTGTTACATGTAGGGCAATCTGTCTTTAAGTAGGGATAAATTACTCTTGAACAAAATGATCCTAGATAGTTTTCCCTTCAAGTAAAGTGTCTTGTTGTTTAAATAAACTTCTTGTTTAAAATGAAAAAAAAAATGCTCTTTTATTGTCTCTCTCAGCCCTGGCTTCAAGGCTAGCGCTGGGACTATAGGTATGTGCCATCATTCCTGATTTACCAAGATTATTTTTTTAGTTTATTTAATTTTATTTTATATGCATTGGTGTGAGGGTGTCAGATCCCCTGGAACTGGAGTTACAGACAGCCGTGAGATGCTGTCTGTATATGGGTGCTGGGAATTGACCCCAGCTCCTCTGGAAGAGCAGCCAGTGTTCTTAACCACTGAGCCATCTCTCCAGCCCCAAAACATCCTTTTAAAAAAAGTATTGCAGTTTATTTAGTGTGTGAGCTGCATGTGCACACACTTGTGCACCAAGGTGTACAGAGGACACACGGATACTTCCCTGGGAGAGGAAGACAGAGAGACCAGAAGTGGAGAGACGACTCGGTGCTTAAGAGGACGCTTTGCTCTTGCAGAGGACCCAAGTTCAATTCCCAGGACCGACATCAGGCCGCTCAGAGCTGCCTGGATGCATCTTGCCTCCTCGGGCACCCATGTTCACACACACACACACACACACACACACACACACAGACACACACACACACACACATGAGGAGGGCGAGGAGGATGAAGAAAAGGCCTATCCCTCCCAGGTTCCAGTGACAAATCAACCTGAATCCTGTTTTTGGAGCTTGGCCATCCACTCACGTTTTGCTACTCTAACTCTTCCAAACATGACCCCATGAAGTTGGGTGTGGTGGCCCCTGTCTGTCATCCCGGCACTTGGAGGACTGCCAGGAATCACTCTGGGCTATACAGTGAGTCCCAGGTTAGCCTAAACTAAAAAGGTGGAAAAGCCTAGGCTTCAGAAGGGCCTGGGATGAGGCAGCAGCAGGTGTCTGTCAGGGTGAAGAGAGAGAATGGGCCGGGGGATGGATCAGAGACAAGGCTTTTAAGTGGAAACAAGGAGCAAGAAACTGGAGGAGCCAAAGGCAAAAGCTGTGGGGATGCACCTCCTGCTACAGGAGGGTTTCAGAAACCTGGCAAGAGGGCCGGAGAAATGATCCAGCAGTTACGGGCTTTGACTGTTCTTCCAGAGGACCCGGGTTCACATCCCAGCACCCACACAGTGGCTCACGGCCATCCATAACTCTAGTTCCAGGGTCTCTGATGCCCTCTCTTCTGGACTCCATGCGTACCAGGCATGAGCTTCATGCACATACACACACGCAGACAAAACACCAGTAAACATAAAATTAGAAATGTAATTAATTGAAAAAATTATCTCTGGGGCTGGAGAGATGGCTCAGCAGCTAAGAGCACTGACTGCTCTTCCAGAGGACCCAGGTTCAATTCCCAGCACACACATGGCAGCTCACAACTGTCTGTAACTCCAGTTCAAGGGAACCCAACACCCTCATACAGACATACAAGCAGGCAAAACTCCAATGCACATGAAATAAAGATAAATACATTTTTATTTTTTATTAAGATTGATTTATTTTATGTATGAGTGCTCTATCGACTTTAGGCCAAAAGTGGGCATCCGATCCCACTATAGATGGTTGTGAGCCATCATGTGGTTGTTGGGAAATCGAACTCAGGACCTCTAGAAGAGCAGCCAATGCTCTTAATTGCTGAGCCACCTCTCCACATTTTTAAAAAGAAGAAGAAATCTGGCCAAAAGCAAGCTGTGGTTGAGATAATGGCAACTCTTTCCCATTCCTCTTTAAAATCTGGACTCTGTCATAGCACCTTTTGCCAACTGGAACAAAGTGTTGTCTTAGAACTGCCATCCGGTATAACAAACATTTGTGAATAACAATAATTATAAACAGAAATAAAGAAAGGTTTGAACCTTCCCCTTTGCCTTCCTCACTCCCATTGGCCAACGGTTCCCTGTTCCTTCAAAGCACGAGGTCACATGTGGGGGAGTGAGATGCTGGGTATGGTGGCTCACGCCTGCAATTCCAGCACCCAGAGGCAATGGGAAGACGGTTCTGAGCTAGGCACTAGCCTGGGCTATATCCATAGTGAGCCCCTGTCCCAGAAAACAAGGAAGAAGGCTAAGGAGGAGAATGGCTACGAGTTCAAGACCAGCCTGGGCTACACAGGGAGACTAAACAAAAACACCACAGGGCAAAGCGAGGTTACTGGGCAAGAATACCAGCTTTGAAGAACAGACAAGCTTTAACGTCCGGTGTCACAACCACCTCTGTTCCATGGGGTACTGCTGTTGTTCCCTTCCCAGGCTCTCAGGATCCATCCGGGGCCTTCTCCCCTGCTGGGCTCCCTCCCCGCAGCTGTAAAGGTTAACAAGTGTTTGCTTCTCCCTGAGATTTTTACTCTTCCTTTCACTGCTGAACTTCTCAGAAGAGTCTAGTTTCCTTCTCAAGCTGTGATGGCTTAGCTGACCTGGGTTACAAAGTACCAACAGCCTCCTGAACAAGGCCAAAGCCATCCCCTGGCTGTGTTCATCAAGAATGGCAGAAGCCAGTGCCTGGGGGCTAACGTGATCTCCTAGAGACCAGAGTTAGTTCCCCAGACAGTGTTGAGGACTGTGGACCCCCAAACCCTGAATTTCCTGTAACTCCCTGCCTGCTGGAGTAAACAACTTGTTTTGCAGCTGCTCTGAGCACCTGAGCAGGAGACCCTCAGGAGTTCCTGATGGCAGGGGAGTGGTTTCTGGTGGGCTTGAGCTGGGAGTTAGGGCATGGCCATTAGTCAAGGAGAGTCTATATAAGCTGCCCTGGAACACAATAAAAGAATTCTTGGCATTACGTGTGTGTACACGTACACACACACACACACACACACACACACACACACACACATGCGCATGCGTGTTTCGCTCTCCAGCCCCTTGCCTGACTAGCGAACCTCGCACATAGTGCATAGAACAGGCATTGCACTACAGACAGGGACAGGGGAAAGTGGAGGGAAGAATATTTGGCCACAGCTGTAAGGGAGGAAACGGAGCAGGTTCCAGTCAGGGTTGGCAAAAAGGAAACTTGGCATCACTAAGTATTCCTTTACCTTGGTCCCCGCCCTGCATCACTGTGCCTCAGCAC